AAAGCCAGTAATGGCTATGTCAGGACTAAATAAATTTCATTATGTCTTAACATGGTGTGAAGGTCATCACAGTAAGATACGTTTTGCTTTAGGAAATAGTTTGAAACCGTTTATATGGGCTGAATTGTTTTTTTATGTTATGTGAATACAATCTCTAGCTGTTATTACAAAACTTTAGACGTTACTGATGCATAAATTAAGTTCAACATCTGTTGAAAGATATTGAACAATGGTAGAGAAGCAATAGTAAGAGGATTGCCAAGTATCAAAGGTTAGTACTGTAGAAGTTCAGTTTCTTATCGAATGGTGCTGGTACGTAAAGCTGTAAACAACTTGAGATTCTGAGAAAATAACTTCAGCTTATCTGCGTACTTGAGAACTCTTGTGGTTCCCCACAATAGCTAAAGTAAGTTTGGTAGCTGTAGGAAACATGCAAAAAGATTAGTCTTGGGTTTATTGTAAATCTTTTAGTACAGACCAGCAGATTATACTAAATGGATTGAAGATACCATTTTGTGTTCAACTATTATTTTTTTTGTCTACAGTATTTTTAATGCTGTTTTACAGCTCTGGCCTGTGAAATCACATAAAGCTTGGGTGCATCCCTAACAGGCCTTCCAAAAATTGCCACCGAATTATACTCATTAATGTATTAAAAAACAAACAATATTAGTCTGAGAAGTTATTTTATTATCCATATGTAACTTAACATACATTAAATTAAATTGTTTCATTTTTGACATGACCCTGCCTATTTTTTATTATATGGCCCCTTGAGCCACACTCAAAGGCTAAGTATAGAGTTTGGATTCCAAAATGTTAATTTACTCCTGAGCTAAGTGATTGTTTCGTTCACAGTTCTGAACACAGAGTGCTACAATTCACCTTCCCCCCAAAAGGGGAGAAGGCATACTATGTTGTACAATTTCACCTTGGCCTCAGTACAGCTTAAGAAAAAAAGCAGAAACCCAATGAAACTGAAATAACTTCACTGTTCACCTAAGCCAGTCTTGTAAATTGTAGCTGGGGAAGAAGGTTGCTTGACTGTATCTAATCTCATTCATGCTTTGATGCAGGGAGAAGAAATGGGTAACCGTGGGAGACACATCTCTGCGGATATTCAAGTGGGTACCTGTGGCTGATAGCAAAGAGGTGAGGAATGAGAGCTTCAAGGAACAGTGCCTGCTGGAGGGGGGCTTAGGCTATTCTCCAGCATGAGGCAAGAACTGGAGCACTTGGCAGAATGAGCAATATGCTAACTTTTACTTTCCCTTCTTACAAACAAAAATACAATCTTTCCGGTAGTGTGACAGATGTCAGTTCATTTTCAATAGACTTCCTGCCTCTCTGAAGGAAATTAAAAACGAAACAAATCCCTTCTGCTTTGGTATATTTGCAAGGACCATCCTTTCCCAGCTACTTCTTATCTGACCCACCAGAGTCGGGAGGCAGGGTATGTTATGGGTCCCCTTTCTTAAGGAGGTTCATCTAGTGGGACCATGAAGAAGGGCCTCCTCTGTTGTGGCTTCCTCCCTGTGGAACATCATCCCTGTGGAGATAAGATTGGCTCCCAAATTGATACTGTTTTGAAAGACCCTGAAGACATGCTTTTGCCAATGGGCCTGGGGACCCCAGGGTGATATAGTGGTTTCTTTGATTGTTATCGGTAGGGAAGCAGAGGTTTATTGGGTTTTGTATTTGAGAGATTTATGTCTGTAAGTCACTGGTGCAATCACCCAGAGTGAGTTGGGCAGCACACGCAGTACATTTTCTAAATAAATGACAACTTGGATGTGTGATGAGGAAGAGAGAGCATTATGTAAAGCCTTCTTAATAGATGATAGCAAAACTGTAACTCTCATGCTTAATTCTTCAAAGACCTATCACATTCCAGATAAGGGCGCCTTGCTTTCCTCATGGAGAATCCTTTGAGTCTACTGGTGGCCTCTGAAGCCCAATCTGCTCCAACTGCTAATTGTAGAGGGTGCATATATGTGGTAGAGATATTTCTTTTGCTACAAAACTCATTGCCTTCTTCCTCATTTCAAGAAAGAGAAGTCCAAATCCAGTGGTACTGCTGCTGTCCCAGAACCAAATGGCTATCCAGCTGAAACTGCAGCCAACTCTTCCCTTCTCCTGGAATTCCAAGGTGATTAGACCTAGATTAGGTCTTTCTTGCATATTTGATAAAGCAGAAAAGACATGGCTCTGCAAGTGCTGGCAAAGAGGTTCTGTAAGAGCCTGAGGCATCATTACCACATAACAGGATTAAGAAAGCAACATCCCCGTTTCAAATCAGCTAGTCAAAAGTGGCTAATACTGGGCTAGATGGACCCATCTTTTTTTTTTTTTTTAATTTGATTTATATGCCGCCCTTCTCCGAAGACTCAGGGCGGCTTACAATGTGCTCAGCAATAGCAATCTTTCAAACCGTGTTACAATAATATAGTATTCCTGCACTTAGGCAGGAAAAACCAAATGCATAGGTATAGAATAGGTGGTAACCTGGTTCAACAGTAGTAACTGTGTGAGAGATCTTGGTGTCCTAGTGGACCATCACATAAGTATAAGACAACAGAGTTTTGCAGCTGCCAAAAAAAAGCCAATGCAGTCCTAGGCTGCATCAACGAAGAGATAGTATCAAGATCACAAGAAACAATAGTGCTGCTCTATATTGCATTAGTGAAGCCACATTTGGAATACTCTGTCCAATTCTGGTCACCATGATACAAAACATGTTGAGACCATAGAAAGAGTGCAGAAAGAGAAGGGCAACAAAGATAATAAAGGGTCTGGAGGCTGTATGATGAACAATTAAGGGATTGTTCATCCCTTAATTATGTCTAGCCTAACAAAGAGAAGGATTAGGTGTGACATAATAGCTATCTTGTGATACTTGAGGGGCAGTCACCGGGAGAAAGGAAGCACCTGAAAGCAAGACCAGAAGCAATGGGTGGAAACTTATCAAAGAGAGATCCAACCTGGAACAGAAGTTTCCTGATAGTAAGAACCATCAGTGGAATAGCCTGCTTTCCAGAGTTGGAGTAATTCATAGCTGGAGGTTTTCAAGAAAAGATTGGACAGCCATTTGTCCAGAATACAATAAGATCTGCCTTGGACAGGGGGTTGGACTAGAAGACCTCCAGGGTCCCTTCCAGCCTTGTAATTCTGTATGCTCACATACTATTGCAAATAATATCAAGAAAACATTTTGGAGATTTGTGTAACTTAAATTAGTTATATAACCAAAGATCAAAAATTGCTATTTTAATGTAATTTCCCTCTTTCTCCCTAGTTTTGAAATTTAGTCTGGCTTTGTTTGTCATCATAGATGTATAGGAAAAGCTGAATTTCTGCCTCCAGCTATTGGAATTTCACTTTGTTTCTGATATTTCAGCAAACTTCAGAGGATCCCTTCAGTCCATAAGTCTTAGAAACTTGAATTTGATTTTAACACAAAACCTCAAGATTCTCATGAAATGGGATTTTGTGTTCAATAGTCTTTCTAGTCTGTTAAAGAACTGTAGTAGACCTAAAACCATCCCTTGGTCCTGGCTCTCTCTGTCTGAGTATTACACTGACTAGGGAAGGGGATTATAAATTTTACTTACCCAACCATTTGAAAATCTGAGTTTTGTTCCAGTTATTATCTTGCAGATACACCTGCAGTGCTACTTCTGGTTCCAGTTCGCTGAAAAGTGTTTTTTTCCTGTTTGGTTTCCCCAGATGAGAACAGCAATCAGAGCTCCCTTTCAGACACCTATCAACTAAAGGCAGACAGTAGTGCTGCTTCCAGTCCTAGTCCACAGCAAAGTGAATCCATGAGCCCTAGCCACACTTCTGACTTCCGCACTGATGATTCACAGCCACCCACGCTGGGACAGGAGCCCTTGGAAGGTGAGTCGTTTGGCTAAGAAGTTTGAGGCACCACAAAAACCCATCCCCATGGCCGCTGAGGGAGAACTGAGACAGGCCTGACATATTATGTAGAATTCCTGGTAAGGGGCTTCAGTAGTAATGGCATACTATCCTTGCTATTTTCAACTTCTGCAGAGTATTGAATAGCCAGTTCAGTAAAAACCTTGAAGTGTCATTGACCCTTTTTTCTTCTTGACTTTCAGAACCTGCTCTCCCACCATCAGAAGTAGCCGATGAGCCTCCAACCCTCACGAAAGAAGAGCCAGTAAAACTCAAGGCTCAGGTACAGCCTATGAAATAGGCAACAGCTTTCTAAGGCAGATTCAGACCCACACTCTTTAGCAGCATGCAGTATTAATATTCAGACATTTCTGTCTGGACATTCAGCTACAGAATTCCTAGCCAGGCCATGAATTTAATCGGAAAATTGATTAGCTATGGTTATTTTCCATGTGATACAATCTAAAATAAAATCTTTGTCACATCCAGCTTGGTTTCTAACATCTTGATGGATACAGCCATATATCTCCCTTAGTAATCTGTCATTGCCTTTTTCTAAGATGCTTTCATTACTTCTCAGGACAGCCTAGTCTCCCAGGTGTTCCCTAGAGATCTTCCATCCAAGTACTAAGCAGGTCCAGCCCTGAATAGCTCTCCAGGCCAAATGCAGCCCTTCAGATGTTCCACCTCTGAGATGTAGCTTAATCAAGAGTGGCTGATACACCCTTCTGCAGCCTGTGCTTTTTTGGATAAGCAAGGAATGGGGAGAAAGAAACGTCCCTTAAAAATGACTTTGCAGATCTGGCAGGCAATTATTATTCTACTGAAACCGCTATGGCAGGGGTTTCCAACCCCCAGGCCATGGCCCATTACCGGGCTGAGGCTCATTTAGAACCAGGCCATGGCAGCAGGCGAGCACATGTGTGCACACAACTCCACTTGTGTGCATAGCAGGCAGGTGAGCATGGAACCATCCCTTCTCCTCCCACTCTGCCAGTCCAGAAAACCGGAAAGGTTGGAGACTGCTGCACTATGGGTTTCCTCTGATACAGCAACAACAGCAAAAAATTTTAAAAAACCACTGGCAACTCATGATGTAATTGCAAATCAATATCCTAGTACCTTTTAAGGCTGAAACCTTCATAATATACTGGATAGGATTTTTTAAAAAAATCTTTTGTTGAACGGAGCATTCCTTTGACCAAGAATCTGAAGGATTTGAAGGCCCTGCTTTAGTTCATCTGTAATAGCTCCACAATAGCTCCTGCTTGGGAGGTCCAAAAGGCAAGGAAACATAAGATTTTCAGAAGAGCAAATATTCCTACAGGTACCATGCAGTGAAGCACTAGATGATAGTCACATCTTGGCCACATATTACACTTTGTATTCTTTGGTTACTATAAACATGTAGCCTAAAAAATAGAAAAGAAACAGTGTTTAGCAAAGAGACTGACAGATCCTGTGGTACAAAAACAGTAATAGAATCATACACATATTCTTGATAGTCCTATTCAAATATCAATTGAAAACACTTATTTGCTTCCATTCTCAAAAGGGATACAGACCTTTACACAGCTCCGTAACCCTAAGTCTATGAAACCACACACCAAGGGTGAAATCCAGCAGGTTCTGGAGAACTGGTAGCAGAAATTTTGAGTAGTTCAGAGAACCGGTAGCGGAAATTTTCAGTGTTTCAGAGAACTGGCAAATACTACCTCTGGCTGGTCCCAGAGTGGGGTGAGAATGGAGATTTTGCAGTATCCTTCCCCTGGAGTAGGGAATGGAGATTTTGCAGTATCCTTCCCCTGGAGTGGGGTGGAAATGGAGATTTTGCAGTATCCTTTCCCTGTCACGTTCACCAAGCCACGCCCATCAAGCCACACCATGCCCACCAAGCCACGCCCACAGAAACGGTAGTAAAAAATTTTGGATTTCACCACTGCCACACACTATTCCTGGGTTGGTGATTCTACTCTTAGCGACAATCAGATTATAAAATAAGTAATGGCCATTTGAATATGGAACCTTCCAGGGGTTCGTGTTTCTCCGTGTTTGTTCCCTGCATAGATAGGAGACCTGTCACTCAACAAACTGTAAATGCTGAAGTTAAACCAAGACCAACGTTGATTCCGTATTTCTGACTCCTTTCTGCGATGGACAAGGAACTGATTCTTGGAGTATCTGCAGCATTGCAGCCAGACAACCATAATGCAAGATAGTTCCAAACCCAAAATATGCATAGTAATCTCAAATATACAAAAAACAATTCATCATTTTACGCTTCAGAGTATTTGTATCTTTTTACTACCCTGAAAAAAAAAGAGACTTACTTGGATTATAGTGGTTTTAGTAACTGCTTTACACAGTAGGTGGCAGCATCCAGCCAACTTTGGCTGATCTCAGAAAAATTAAGTGGATAGTTGAGGATCAGGAAATTCTAGGATATAAATTAGTCTAGGAACATCCCAGAAGAAAATGGTGGTCAACAACTTTTATAATACTGGCAAGAATGCAAGGTACAAAGTTCGTCTTTAATCAGTTAGAAGAGTCTATTCAAAGCACATGAATAATGTTCATAATGTCCACATTCAGTTCAGAAAATCTAATTATGTACTTCTGGACGTATCTCATTTGGGAAAGGGATATGGTCACATCATTGAAAGTATTTCCACATTTTTCTTTCAGTATTGTAAAACAGGTTTTGTTCACGTTCTATACAGATAGTCAGATTACATCCCTATTGGGACAGAATTTTTGTTGTTAGGTGAAGCATTCGTTAGATGAAACATCACTTAACCATGACACTTCCAAGTAGTCCTGGCTCTGGTCATTAGGCCAAGACTCACCATTGATAGGTCAGGACCCCATGTTTCTCCTGCCCTGCAGCACTTATCTCTGCTTCAATTCACCATGCCCACCTATCTCCTCTCCTATCTCTGCTCTTTTGGCTGTCCAACCTTCCCCCACTGTTCCCTACTTCCCCCAGATGACCTTTGCCATCCTCCTCCTGTTGCTGACAGGGTGGCAAAGGTCATCTGGGGTAATGGGGCAGTAGAGGCAGCAGACTGGAGGACAGCCAAAAGGGCAGAGATGAGGAAAAGCAGACAGGTGGAGGAGGGAGCTGAAGACCCTGATGTCATAAATGTGTGCAGACTACCAACCATTCAAATTTTGATCATACGATGAGGGATATTGCTGAATTTTCAAGGACCATTTAACAAGCATTAGTTCAGCACCACTATAACTTCGAACAGTCGCTGAACAAATGGTCATAACCAAGGACTACCTGTATTGACAACCCAGCTAACCATATTTTTTTCTTTCTTTCAGGTGAACGGAGGGGAGGAAGATTCTGGTGCACCTCCACTTAAGAGATTTTGTGCAGATCAGAACTCCATATGTCATGCAACTTCTGAGAGCTAGTCAGTCTGCTTCATCCTGTGATGCAGTTGTTTTCAAAACTCCACCTGCCCCTTCCTGTCAAAATACCAATCTGTTTGAAAGTTGGTATTCTTCTCCACCTCCGTGTTTCTCTCCTGTGCAGTGTCCTCCAAGAATCAACCTGCTCTTTCCATAACCTCTCCAGATGAAACTTTGCTCATCCTGTGTTAAGATTTGTCCCTTTTGTGCAATCTCCTCTCAGCCACATCCTCTTGACTTGCACGCTTAAGGAATGAGGTGGTTGCAACCTCTCTTGTATACTTTTTATTTATCCTCTTTGTGGGCTTTGGGGACTGCAGCTAAGAAGGTTCCTGTAAGAAAGAGGAGTTCTCTGCACTTAACAGGTAGCTCACAAATCCTTTCCTGTCCTTTCTCCTCCAGACAGTGAAGGATTCTCTCTGGAAGTGAGTCAGGACCTGGTGGAAGTCTGCCTGGGATGTTGTGCAATAGTTGTGGGGTTAAGCCATTAGTGCTGGAGGGAGCAAAAACTTTCCCCTCCAGGGAAGGATAATGGTGCTGCAGCTAAGAAGGTGTTCTAGGAAGTGAAGGCTGGGCTGCATCTAGGTGGCTAAAGGGCTCTCCTTTGCAGTCTGGTAAACGTGGACCTCGGAGTGCAAAGTATCTTCCCAGGTACCAAAGGGGCATTGTCTCTGAGCAGCCCTTCTCAGGGGTGGAATAGCCACCTAGCACAGCTAGCACCAATTGCCCGGCCCTCTCTAGTCTCTGCGGACCTGTCCTCCCCATCACAATCTGCATGTGGAACTGACTTCATGATCAGGGCCCTGCTGCCATGAAAAGTGCTGGCCACGCAGGGAAGAAAAGAGATATTTTAGCACTGAAGAGAATATTTTTAAAATTAAACTATTTGAAATAGTATATGTGTGAGAAAGTGTATTTGGGGGCAGGGGGAAGATATTCGCAACAAGAAACTAGATGACTGGCATAGAAGTCCTCTTCCCATTTGCATGGGAATCATGACAGAAACTTATCTTGACAGCATCCTTTTTTATGCATTTCCCATGATGTTGCCTTCATCTAAGTCCCACTCCATTCATGAAACAGGATTAAGTGGTGTTTAGTTGCGCTGACACAAACTTTTTTTTAACCATTGTTCCTATACCATAAAAGTGATAAATGATTAGGTTTTCTCACCCATTACCTTGTATATTGGGACTATAGTGAATGGGGAACAGGATTGGGGTTGATTAGCAAGGGGAACAATACATTTCATGTAGGTCTAATTTTCTGCCATCTCCCAAATACATGTATTTCAACCTATCATTGAAGAAAGCTTGAAGAGTTTTGTTAAGGGGATTTCATGGAATAACTTTCCTTGGGTAAGAGTAGGAGAGCACAAAGTCAGTCCATAACTTCAAGGATTGCCACTGCTACATCTAAAGCTAGAAGAATGAGGCAAATGTAACCTACAGACCAGTGGTTAAATGTAAAATTTGTTACTACTGGTTCTGTGGGTGTGGCTTGGGGGGGGCGGTAATATGACTGAGTGGGCGTGGCCAACTTTTTTTTTTTAACTTTTAAAACCATTTTTTCTACAACCTCTTCGGCTGAAGAGGTTGTAAAAAGAAATGCTTTTAAAGCCTCTGACGATCCCAGCTGACTTGCCTGATCGGCAGAGGCTTTTTTTTCCTTTTAAAAACATTTTTTCTATAACCTCTTCGGCGGAAGAGGTTGTAGAAAAAAATGCTTTTAAAAGCCTCTGATGATCCCAGCTGAGCCGCGCGATCATCAGAGGCTTTTTTTTTTACTTTTAAAAGCATTTTTTTCAGCCAAAGAGGTTGTAGAAAAAATGCTTTTAAAAATTAAAAAAAGCCTCTGATGATTGCGCGGCTCAGCTGGGCAATGGGGGGGGGGCAAGGATTTTTGTTACTGATTCTCCGAACCACCCGCCTCCATCGCTACCGGACCGGGAGCATTTCACCCCTGCTACAGGCCTTAATCCAATTAAATCAAGAAAATGTCCCATTTAAATTAACAATATGTTTGAAAGTACTGAATAGTACTAAGTTGCAGGGAGAGGGAGGATGTGGACAGAGCTATTGAAAGGTCAGGATCTTCAAAGAAATTCCTCTCCAGAGTACTTACCAGATAAAATTTGATGTTCAGTTCCCAAGCCCAGCCATCATATAGCAGCTTTTGCTTTTAAAGGACAAAAGGCATAATTTATGTTAAAATGTTAGTAAGGATACTAGAGACAAGGGATGCGGTAGCTAAGACACTGAGCTTGTTGATCAGAAGGTTGGCAGTTCAGTGGTTCGAATCCCTAGCGCCGCATAACGGAGTGAGCTCCTATTACTTGTCCCAGCTTCTGCCAACCTAGCAGTTTGAAAGCTCGTAAAAAATGCAAGTAGAAAAATAGGGACCACCTTTGGTGGGAAGGTAACAGTGTTCTCTGCACCTTTGGTGTTTAGTTATGCCAGCCACATGACCATGGAGACATCTTCGGACAATGCTGGCTCTTTGGCTTAGAAACAGATGAGCATCACCCCTAGAGCCAGAAATGACTAGCACGCATGTGCGGGGGAACCTTGACCTTTACCTTAGAGACAATAGGCCCTCTTCTGACTATTAGTAGGTACAAAAGGTTGGTTTCTGAACTGAACTAACCTCTTGCTCAAGGATGGCATTCTGAGGAACTGAAATACCATCTCTGGTCTTTTTAGGATACCGCCATTATCAAGTGATGGAATTGTAACTTTGGTTTTTGCTTAGAGCCTGGCCAGATTGTCCCATCTATATTTCTAAATACTTTCTGCTGATAGCCTGTGACCAGCTTGCTAAATAAGTGCCCTTATGCTTCTCCTGATGCAGATAGTGCTCTTTAAGGGTATTCTGGCAGACTTGGCCTCTGGATCTCTCTTTAGAGATCTAAAAGTATTACTGCAATGTATGATGGAAAATGGCTTTCAAAAGTTGCCTCCATTGCATTTGATGAAGACCAAGGAAGAAGATTTCTTTCTTTCTTCTTTCTTTCTTTCTTTCTTTCTTTCTTTCTTTCTTTCTTTCTTTCTTTCTTTCTTTCTTTCTTTCTTTCTTTTTCTTTCTTTTCTTTCCCTTCCTTCCTTCCTTCCTTCCTTCCTTCCTTCCTTCCTTTCTTTCTTTCTTTCTTTCTTTCTTTCCAAAATAAATAGGAAGAGAGGATTGACACATCTCCAAAGCACCAGATGGCAGAACAAGAAGCGGAACCTTGTTAAAAAGTGATAAGGAGATATTTTCTTCCAGAACAATTAATGGAATAGCTTGCCTCCCAGTGTTGTGGATGGTCCATCATTGGAGGTTTTCAAAAATAGACTGGAGAACCATTTGACCTGGTATATGGTCTTCCATCTTGAGCAGGGGATTGGACTAGATACTAGAAGACCTCCCAAGTCCCTTTCAGCCCTAAGATTCTATGTTGTATATTCTACAAACAAAAACTTAAAATGGTCTCTTCTAAGCCTAGGGGTTTGTAAAAATGATTCTATGATACACATGTCCCAAAAGCGCTTTTTGAACTTTTGGGTTGTTTTTTTTTACCCCCTTTGAAAACTTTTCACTTCTCATCCATAAAAGTTTCTTCAGTTCTAACTGACTGGTGAGGAATTTCAAAGGGGGGAAAAATCTCCAAACAGTGTAGTTGCTTTTTGGAAAAGACAACCATGACCTGGATGATTGAGAACATCCACAGATGTGTGACAAGCGTGTCTTGCAAAATCGCTTCACTTAATTCTCCCGCGGAGAACGTCAAACCTGACTTTTCGCACGGAATCTGGTAACGATACCACTAGAAGCTTTTGAGCAGGGGTCTCCAACCTTGGCAACTTTAAGACTTGTGGACTTCAACTCCCAGAATTCCTCAGCCAGCAAAGCTGGCTGCAAAGCTAGCTGAAGAATTCTGGGAGTTGAAGTCCACAAGTCTTAAAGTTGCCAAGATTGAATACCCCTGCTTTAGAGGCCTCTTTTTTTTCCTATATTTATGTTCAACGCCATCTTGTCGTTTCCATGGAAAAAGCGGCCTAGTCGAGACGCCGCTGCCTTCCTCTCCCCGCCCCGGGAGCGATGGCGGAGGCGGCTTGGAACGAAGACACGGGCGCGGCGGTCTACCGATTCCGAGACCCCATCCGTAACCTGCGCCTCAGGTTGGTGTTCCCTTCCCTTCTCTGTCGTGAAACGCCCCGAACTCTTCCCGCGGCTCAAATTTGCTGCCGCCGCCGCTCCATTACTCCAGTCACCCTTTGGATTTGAAGTTCGCCCATCGGGTGAAGCAAATCAGTCTGGAAAACATCCTGTGGCATCAATATATTGGTTTCCAAAAGGGGAACCAACATATTTTATTCGGTTTTCTTACACGAAACTGTGCTCTCTCTCCCTCTCAAAGTTACACCTCAAATGCCCCCTAAACGCGCACAGGCGGCAAATCCTCTAATAATGCCCGCCCTCCCCGGGAGAAAAATCGCCGAGTAGCAACTCTAATGCTCTATATTATTGAAAGAAGTGTGACAGTTTAAAGCCCATTATTGTACTATATAATAAACATCGTGTTCGATGGGATTTATAATCCACCTCAGGAATGCAAGAAAGTGTCCCCCCCCCCCTAAATTGGCCGTAGCTTGCATGTATGGGGGGTGCGTGTTAAAAGTTGAGTTAAAAGACTGAAATGCAAGCTGAGATCTGAGGGCTTAGAACTTAGAATAACAGAGTTGGAAGGGACCTTGGAGGTCTTCTAGTCCAACCCCCTGTCCAGGCAGGAAACCCTACACCACTTCAGACAAATGGTTATCCAACATCTTCTTTAAAATTTCCAGTGTTGGAGCATTCACAACCTCTGGAGGAAGTTGTTCCACTGATTAATTGTTCTAACACAGGAAATTTCTCCTCAGTTCTAAGTTGCTTCTCTCCTTGATTAGTTTCCACCCATCGCTTCTCGTCCTGCCCTCTGATGCTTTGGAGAATAGTTTGACTCCCTCTTCTTTGTGGCAGCCCCTGAGATATTGGAACACTGCTATCATGTCTCCCCAGTCATTCTTTTCATTAAACTAGACATGCCCAGTCCCTGTAACCGTTCTTCATATGTTTTAGCCTCCAGTCCCCTAATCATCTTTGTTGCTCTTCTCTGCACTCTTTCTAGAGTCTCCACATCTTTTTTACATCGTGGCGACCAAAACTGACTGCAATATTCCAAGTGTTGCCTTACCATAAAGTGATTTTAACACTTCACGTGATCTTGATTCTATCCCTCTGTTTATGCAGCCCAGAACTGTGTTGGCTTTTTTGGCAGCTGCTGCACACTGCTGGCTCATATCATATACAAAAGTATGAAGGCTATTGCTTAACGCATTGTAAGCTGCCCTGAGTCTCCGGAGAAGGACGGCATATAAATCAAACCAATAAATAAATAATAAATAATAAATGGTTGTCCACCAGGATTCCAAGATCCCTCTCACAATTACTACTATTGAGCAAGGTACCACATGTACGGTACCTGGACATTTTGTTTTTCTTCCCTAAATGTAGAACCTTGCTTTTTTCACCATTGAATTTCATTTTGTTAGATAGCACCCAATGTTCAAGTCTGTCAAGATCCTTCTGTATCTTGAGCAGAAGGATCAAGATACAGAAGGCTTGATAGTAATGTGCCAAATAAGCAGTCAACAACCACAACATCAACTGGCAGTTAACAAGAATAAGAATAAAATAAACGCATAAGACAAGATGTATTGTTAGGGTTGAGGGTTAGTGTTCCTAATATAAAATATCAAAAAGAAATAATTTCACACGCGCTGCAAAATAATTACAAACATAGCTGCAATGATACAGAAATAGTACGCAGTAATGTGATAAAAAATAAATATGAATAAAAGTATTAGAAATTACATGCTTTTCAATTATAGTTACTCTTATTCGGAGATCTATAATCAGTTTCTCTTAGGGAAATAATTTAATTTTAAATATATCCTGCAGTTCTAATTAATATAATCAAGGAGCCTAACACTTACCGGATGCAAAATATAAAATAAATTAAAGCAAAATTAATACTAGAATATGTCTACAACTGCTAGAAAGCACTAAATGTTAAAAGTGACTGGTATTCCTTAGCTAGCATGTAGTTTTTAGACTTTTAAAGTTCTGATTTGATAGCTCTAACTAAAATTAATTACGTAACAAAAGTCTGGCTCTATTGTACTTCTATGTATAAAAAATACATAATATCTTGTTTTTTTAGTCACAACTACTACCGGTAGGTACAATCAACAGTGCAATATTGATGTTACTGTAAAATCAAAGATAATAAAAAATTAATCTGAAAATCAGGAAAAGTATATTTAAAGTACAAGTGCTCAAATGGTTAAAAGAGAACTCACTCTTTAAAATTACTATCACACCTATATAAAGAATTATAAAAACATATGCATATCCAGTCCTAGAAAAATAATAATTTAAGATGAAAGTTGAAACAAAAACTTAATTCAGAAACCATAGATTTACTTATTGTCACCAATAAAGTCTCAAATAATAGAAATAGATAATATATCAGTAATGCTGGAAATGTAATGATTCATATCTGTTTGCAAGCTCAACTATTCTGGAAGATGCCTCACAATAGAATGAAACAGATTTTAGATTCTGATTTTTCTTTTCTTGCAACTGTTTTTAATGTTAAGTACCACTAACTTTATCTTTTTACAAAGTATACTGAAGTAACATTGTATGTAACTGCTCCTGAGATACTTTATACTTTTCATTGGAAATTACACTCAGTTCTTTCTTTAGAAGACTGGCAGACCCAACTCTGGAAGTACCGGTATGCATCCAATGTCAAAACTGATTTCATGTTTTTTAAAAAATATATCTATTGACTTCAGTTTGGAAAACATTTATAAATTATAATTCTGCACATAGACCTTGGCCACAACTGAAGTTTTAATTTCTCTTAAGATCTTAAAATGCTGAGTTCTTTTTAAGTGGTTATAAAGTTAAGGGAGGATTATCTCAGATTAGCTAGATTTTGACTGAAAATTCTTATTATTATAGTTGCCATTGTTAATTTCTAATTTCACCCTATTGATAATTTTAAATCAATTGTTTTGTGATTACCGTATCTCCATGTATTGTCTTAATTTAATGTTACTAGTGGAATATTGCAGAAAAACAATTACTACCAACCTGCCTTCCATTGAGGACCTGTATACTGCACGAGTAAAAAAGAGTGCTGTGAAAATATTTACAGACCCCTCGCATTCTGGACATAAAATGTTTCAACTCCTACCCTCAAAACGACGCTATAGAGCACTGCACACCAGAACAACTAGACACAAGAACAGTTTTTTCCCGAATGCCATCACTCTGCTAAACAAATAATTCCCTCAACACTCAAACTAGTTATTAAGTCTGCATTACTATTAATCTTCTCATTGTTCCTATCGCTCATCTCCTCCCACTTATGACTGTATGACTGTAACCTTGTTGCTGGTATCCTTACGATTTATATTGACTGTTTCCTAATATGATTTGATTGCTTATTTGTTCCCTATGACTATCATTAAGTGTTGTACCTTATGATTCTTGACAAATGTATCTTTTCTTTTATGTACACTGAGAGCATATGCAACAAAGACAAATTCCTTGTGTGCCCAATCACACTTGGCCAATAAAGAATTCTATATTAGAGTTTTTCCTTAACATTTTATCATTTTTATGGTTTGTAAATCCATTTTTGTGTTGCTCTTGTTACACATCCATATTCTATTCTTAAATATCTTTTAAAAGAAAGTAAAATATTTTTTAAAATTCAGATACTTCCCAACTGATAATGATTAGTAGGGACAAGAGTCTAAGTAGAACAGTTATTTGGAGTAAACTTCCTCTGCTTTCATTTTTTTCCCCCAAGCAACTGGCTTTGACACTCCAGATGTCCAAAAACAATATATTTCTTTCTTGCAGGGTTAAAATTCAGCGGGTTACTTCCACTAGCCTTCTATTACAGCAGCTACGGCAATCTTTCTGCCAATCAGGCCAGGAGCTCATCGGCTTGTCAACTTTTGAGCCTTACAACTCAGCAAGTGAGTGCTCTTGGCTGGACTTTAAGAACAATGATTTCTGGAAGTCTAGTCAGATCTTAAGACTGTTAAAGCTGCAAAGTCTGATCAGTATAAAACCAAATAATTGAAATATTCGCTTTGTAGAATATGACCATGGAACCAAGAGATGTTTCTGTATAATTTTGTTTCATTTTTAAGTTAACTTTTATTTTGGCGGTCAGGAGATACCATTTACCTTAACAGAACAAAACCTTGGTCAATGAGATTGTCTGCTCTCCTCACTGCAATTTTCTCATTTCCTGCATTGCTTTTCTTGTTAAATTGCCAAATTAAATGCCCCTTGATTTGTGCAATGATTTAGTGTGGCTAACTCCTAAGTTTTTCTTGTCTTTGGCTTTGATTTTGAATATAAAGACATTCAAAGCAACAAAATAATCATTAGACCTGCCCAGATGTTATGTATATTAGTAACCAAGAGAGAAAATAAATTCTGGGAGAATTGGAGCATCTTAAGCCATTATTCTTGCCAAGCACACTTTCGAGGCTTGTCTATGTTTCAGGTGGACCTTGTCCTGAAGAGGAGAAAGAGGAGGCTGTTATTGGCTGGCAAGAAAAACTCTTTAGTCAAGTAAGTAGATGGGATGATTGTCCCACTAATGAATCTAGCAGTATTCAGTGCTTCTGGCAGTGCTTATTCAATTTATTCTTACGTAAGCCAGATATCTGGCTGAGCAGTGATTGAAATCTAGATCTCCTTCATCCAAGTATAATGTTCTAGCCTCTTGTCTGGGCTGATCATATGCTCTTCCTGCAAATTTGTTGTGTGCTGTTCCTGCAAATTTAACATGGATATCTAATGGAATGTATAAAAGTACAAACTTCATTCTAAAAAGCTGCTAGGTTGAAAAATATGAAGTCATAAATCATCTGGATTTCAACAGTAGGCCTACATTTTTTTCTCAGTCACTCAGGTAAAGATGTTTTGTTTCAAGTGTTCTTAAGCACCAAACCCTTATTGTGAACATTTGGGAGCTTCGGATGTTTCTAAAATATTTGAAAGAGCCTATTCTGCTTTTAAAACAATTATTTCATGTTCAGAAGGTATTTTGTACATCGTTCACACTGAAAATAATTCAAAAGAAAACATTTTGGCTATCACTTTGAATATCACAGGTATTTTTCTTGCCTGGTTGAACTCCCTTGAATAGGGACAGTTTAACAGTACTGTACATCATGCTCACAAGGGCTTTTGCCTTTTCATGTTAAATAAAGAAAACAGGCTTCCTTTGTACACTTTCTCATTCAAGTTTTTAGAGACTAATGACTCAGTCTAATAGGTAGAAATGTTTCAGACTATTTTTGGCCTATTTTGTTGAATTGTAACCTTGGTGGAACGTTCTGTCCAAACTGTGTCCCTTTGCTCCACCCCATTCTTCACTTTCACTGCACCTATTCAGATATGAGAAATTCAGTTAGATATGAGTCCTGCAGAAGTTAATGGCTTGTTTTTGTGATTTGCTCATCTAACAAATCCAACTATTTGACTGTTTTTTGCTGGGACCTCTGTTTTGCTGATACTGCAGTTCCATGGATTGAGATTTTGTAGGGAGGGCTTTGTTATACAAGCAACAATGGTTTTTTTCTACTCTATTTAGTTTGAGGTTGATCTTTACCAGAATCAGTCTGCCTGCCAGAGCCCACTTGACCGACAATACCACCAGGATATCTTAAAATTGGAAGAGTTGGGGGGTCGAAAGAATAAGCGGATCTTCACCTACATAGACAATGACCGCTTCACCAGCCTAGAAGAGGTACCAGCTTTTTAATGGAGATGGAAATGGGTTGGAGATGGGATGACCGACCCAGGGTCCATACTTTATGTCAACATGAATGATAGGAAGGGAGGAATTGTTCATACTAGCAAATATGAAGTAATGTAAAAATATGTTTATAATCCTTAAGTAATGATTAATGATATTGTTAATTACAAATATAATTCCTGGCTTAGGGAATAAAGTTCAGACAGATAATAGCATCTTGGTAATCTTGACAGATTCCTCCAAAGCTAGATAGGCTTAGATCGTTGTGATGTTTGGATGGAAGATCACCAGGAAAGTCCAGAGCAGTCATTTAGAGTTGGAAGTTGAAAAATATATTGAAAGATTGCAATACCAAATCACTTTCATATTACTGTCAAGAAAGCATGTAATTAGCAGGTGTTCAATTCTGAAGCAGTGTTTCTCAACTTTGGAAACTTTAAAATGCTTTCCCTTGATGGGCTGTCACTGGAGCCTTTGCTCTCTGCTTTGTACCAAAAGTCCTGCTAAAAAGATATTTCCCTGGGTTGAATGGTACCTCTTAGCTCACATTTTTCCTGTTTAAATGAGTATAACAAGCTTTCTTCTTACATTCCAGCATGGTCAGAAAATGACCACTTCTGACAAGGAAGTGCCTTCGTATTTGGCAGAAATGATGGCTAATGTGAGGAGGAGAAGACAAGAACGCAGGCCAGTGTAAGTGAAGCCATAGACAATGCTTTTGCTGTACAAATGTCTTGGGCTTGAGGGGGAAGAGGAATGATTTTGATATACCCTGACATTCCCTGGCTCTTCTATATATTCTGAAGGAAACCTGCTTCACTATAGTCAACAATCTCCTTTGCCCCTCTTGGTAGAGAAGGAAACATCCTGAAATCCCGAATTATCACCTGGCAGCCCTCTGAAGAATTCATCAGGAACAACCATGTCCTTAATACTCCTGTGCAGACCATGTATATTATGGGGGACCTAGGACCCCAAGGCAAGTAAGTTTATGCACCAAAGCTTTCCAGTCCTTTTGTTTTTTTATCACCCCCCCCCCCCAGGTTCCAAGGAATGTTTGAAGTTGAACAAAAGTCATTAGCACCCCTTGATATAGAACTGAAGGTGACAGCTGCATGTTACCATCTCTGGGGAATTTGTCTCTAGAAAGTTAGTATAAATTTGTGTTGAGAGTAGCAGAAACAAAGACTGTGCTGAAGAGATATAGTAATCCCTGCTATATATTGACCAGGTGACAAAAGTATAAGGTGAATGAAATCCTTTCTGGCCTAGAATTCAGGTATAGATCAAATTCATTGCAGTCCAGAAGAGCTGTGGTGGCGCAGTAGTTAGAATGCAGTACTGCAGGCTACCTGCTGCCTGCAGTTTGACAGATCAAATATCACCAGGCTCAAGGTGGACTCAGCCTTCCATCCTTCCAAGGTCGGTAAAATGAAGACCCAGATTGTTGGGGACAATATGCTGACTCTGTAAACTGCTTAGAGAGGGGGCTATAAAGCACTATGAAGCGGTATATAAGTCTAAGTGCTAGTGCTAATGCTAGAATGGCATAGAAGCTCTCCAATATTTCAAGACCATCTTCTTTGTCTTAGGGTTTTCCTTTGGTCCTGGATCTGGTGTTTGCATAACATTATTCTATAATATGTTCAGAAACACCTGAATGTATCTTGTACTGCCGGTATTTAAGCCCTGATAAGCAGATCATGTTTTTATAATGATCTCTCCATAGGCTTGGTTGCAAGGAGTATGAGTATGTTCTCTGCATGATCAAGGTAGATGGCAATGGAGTCCTCACAGTCAAGCCAGATTTTACAGGCACAAAAGGGCCTTATAGGTGAGCACCACTTAGAACCCTTTGATCTCTGCAAATGAGTTGAAGTCAAGGGGCAATCACCTATCAATTGTACAGATCTTTTCTCTGAGTTGGGCTTGTGTTGTTTGGCCCCCTGAAGGATTGAGCTGGAAGGCGAGAAGCGGGAAATGTGGAAATTCACTTTGGAGAATGCCTCGGCCACAGTGGGAGAGAAGGAGGAAGCACGGGAACAGCGTGTCTTCAAGGATGTAAGAACTCTTATCTTTTGCTCCTAAGCGGGGCCTAAATTTGTAAAAGGGGTATATGTCTTATTTTCTGACTGTATGTTTCATTCTTTAGTTGTATAGCCGACATAAAGAGTACCTCAGTGGACTTGTTGGATCTGACTTTGAGATGGTAAGTGACCTCACAACCTGGTTCTATTTTTAGTGGAGAATGACAGGTTGGGGGAATTTGGAGTTCTGCTTTGTAATGTATTACCACAACATTCATGATTAGTTTGTTGGAAACAAACTTTTATATGATTTGAGCAGATAGGTAAAGTTCCTGCAATTTGCAGATTGTGTTATAATAGTGACTTTTTTCTGAAAAAGTTGTACTGCTGTTTTCTTAGTCCTTTGCTCACCATGCAAATTTCTCATACTAGTTATTGTTTAATTGAGAAACCCATACTGAAAGTTAAATTGTGCTTATGCATGCTTTAGGTGATATAAGGAAGCTAGCATGATTGATGGTGGCTAGTCCTTGGATGGAGAACCACACAGAAATTCCAGAGCCATTGAGAAATTGAGAAAAAAAATATTCTGAATACAAAGGCAAACCACTTCTGTAACATTGTTAAAAATTACATAGATAAGCCCTCAGGAGCCAAGCTCAACTAAGGATATTTTTAATCTTTGAATCTGAAGCACACTGACAATAGAATCTCAAGTCCTGAATTTGTCCTGACCCACCACCTCTGTCATGTATTCATCACATAACCTTTGGTATGTCTCCTGTTTCATTGACCATCAAAAAACCCTTCCATCCCTGTGTTCATAAAATCAAGTAATAGAAGAGGTAAAAATGAGAACTTCCTTCCACAAAATGTTTAACTGCTACATGTAAACTGCTCTTTGTGCAATAAAGTCATCAAGATGGAGGAGATTGAAGGAGCCTTGGTGGCGCAATGGACTAAGTGCTGTTAAAGTAGTACTTAGCTGCCAGCTGCCTGCAATTACTGCAAGTTCAAATCTCACCAGGCTCAAGGTTGACTCAGCCTTCCATCCTTTTGAGGTAGGTAAAATGAGGACCTGGATTGTGGGGGCAATAAGCTGACTTTGTATATAAAAAAGAACACCGCTTAGGGGGGCCTTTTGTATATACCTTGTGGTATATACAAAAGTATGAAGGCTATTGCTTAATGCATTGTAAACCGCCCTGAGTCTCCGGAAAAGAGTGGCATATAAAATCGAACTAATAAATAAATAATAAATAAATAAGATGCGTATTAACAGGCATCAAGCTAGAAATGACCGTGAGTTCTAGTTCTACCTTAGGCATGAAAGCGGCTGGGTGACTTTGGATCAATCAACCTAACAGGGTTCCTGCTGTGGGGAAAATAGGAGGAGGAAGGTATATTAGATCTGCTCACCACCTTGAGTTGTTATTAAAAATAATAAAGGTGAGATATAATTAAATAAATATCTCTGACCTGGGGTTATGCACCTGATGTTCACCTTCTAATATAAAAATATAGTTGCTTTATATCAGATCAATCCTTTCATTCCTCCAGTCTAGATTTATTAAGTCTGATGAGCCAGAAGCTCTCGGGCACTGGAAAACTTTTCAACTGCAGTTTTTCTGCTGGATAACATTCATTCTTTCCTCTTGCAGACTGCTCCTGGTATTTTCCGACTCTTTGTGAATGGTGAAATAGGTAAGATAACCTTTTATTCTTGGTGGAGTTTTTGTTTCTCCTCCTTCCACATTCAACCCAAGATTGATCCCCAGGCACTTAAATCAATATTAAGGGTCAAAAACTATAACTGGAAGCCTATGCCTGCCCTGTGAAACTGCACAAAGGAAATTGTGATTCTGCTATCTGATTTATACCTCTCATCGTTCTGCAATTAATTTTGTGATTTACCTAATATTGATTTAGGTACCTTTTTGCTATTAGGAAAAATGACTAAATTTTCAGTTTGTAAACGATCTAGAGCTGTGATTGTAACTAAAATATCCTCCTACAAGTTTGATTAGCCAACTCATTCAGGTTTTGTTATAAACTCAAAGTCTCTTTAGCAAGGTGTGTGCACCTTCATAAGATTGGGCGGCTTGGTTAAGAATGAGAGAAATGGTCCAGAGAATAAGGCTTTATTACTGTGTTTCCTTTTCTTTCCTAGTTTCAGCCCAGGGTTACGAATACAACAATCTATACATACATTTCTTCTTGGAACTGCCCAACTGTGAGTAGTATAAATTGGGCCCTTAGGATTGGACAAGATACAATATGGCATCTACCACAATACAGTTTTTGTAGAAATGTGTTTCCTCCTGAAGAGTTGCTTCTAGCAAAGAAATAATTGAAACAATACAGGGATTCATAAGTCTTCCCACAGTAAATCAAGCATATCCTTGAACCTACCCTCTTGTTATTTACGGCTGTATATTCCCCAAACTCCCTTTCTCTAAAATCCAGTCTTAAGATACTGATGGACAATCAGTACCAGTCCAATCTCATGATGGGAGCCAGAAAAAAATCCTTGTGTCTCCCTTCTCCACCTCATCACTTATCTACCTGTTGCATCACACACTTCACACTTCAAGATCACAAGCATAACAGAAGTATGGCTAGTAACTTAAGGTATCATTACTTTTATAACGCTGGAGTCATTTTAATTCTAAATCATTTTAATTCTAAATCATTTTAATTCTAAATCATGATTCAAGATGAAGAAAAGAAAAAGGATCAAATAATTTTAAGCCATCTATAGTATTTTTCCATATTGTTCCATATTAGAATATCTGAGAGAAATTCTAATGGTTTTGGGGGGGAACATACAAGTAGTCCTTGCATAAATACCAATTGCTTAACGACCAAAGTTACATCAGTCCCCTGAAAAGATACTTACGACCCGATTGCAGAGTTCCAACTGCAACACACACACACACACACTCACCTGATTTCATTTGGGAGCTAGGCTACTGGCTCACATTTATGGCCGTTTTACAGCATGACCATGATTTTTAGCATTTTTGCCAGATTCTGATGTTAACTTTCTGTGGATTCATTTAATCACTGTTACATTCACTTAACAACTGCCACATCCAACAACCGTGGCATTTGCTTAATGACCATCACATAAAATTATACCTGGTCCTATGGTGATCAGCTTAGCAACCACCACGATGTAAGACCATAATTCCAGGCTCAATTATAGTCAGGAATTACCTGGTATGCAATGAAAGGGTGTCTGGTTTTGGAGCAGAGTTTTGTACTTTAGCTGCTCATTAATCTTGCTGTCTTCTCCGCGGTGCTAAAGCTTTTATTTTCTTTCTAGGCTGGTCATGTCCCCCATCTCAACTACTCTCTGGAATGACACAGACTTGCACTAGCAAAGTACATGGCAAAGTATGTTTAAGGTGGTTCCTTTGTGAGGGAGGGGGACTATTTGCAGAGTCCCAGTGTTTAATGCCAGTTTTGGGGGTTTGAGGCACATTTTTCTTTCATACTTTTTTTTTTTTTAATTTTATTTATATGCCGCCCTTCTCCAGAGACTCAGGGAGGCTTACAATGCGTTAAGCAATAGCCTTCATACTTTTGTATATTTATACAAAGTCAGCTTATTGCCCCCACAAACTGGGTCCTCAATTTACCTACCTTAGAAAGGATGGAAGGCTGAGTCAACCTTGAGCCTTGGCGAGATTCGAACCTGCAGTAATTGCAGGCAGCTGAATGTTAATAATAGGCTATTAGTCTGCTGAGCCACCAGGCTCCTCTGTAGGAGGAGGAATAGGAATATTCTTACTTTGAGGAATAGCAGCCTTATATGACTGGAAATCCATCTTGCTATGGATTTTAGTTTTCTGATTCTCCTAATCAGGGGTGAAATTCACTTACCTTCGCTACTGGTTTGCAAATGTTAGAGTATGCATGCTTCCTTCACGCATGCGCAAAGCCTTCTGTGCATGCACAGAGGGTCAAAAATGGGACGTGATGACATCTGGGCGGGTGGGCGGAGCCTCCCACCACCGGCACTACTGGATCGCACAATCCAGATAGATCTGGCTGAATTTCACCACTGCTCCTAATATTTCAAAGCTAAATTCTAGTAGAGCCTTCTTCAGCTTACTCCTTTAAGTCTTAAATGTATTGTACTGCCAAATTATTGAGATTTCTTAATGATTTACATTAAGCTTTGTTGAACTTCAGTTGGCTGGTAGCTCACAGATTCAACTGGAATGCCCAGGGAATAAGAATTATGAGACTTTTAGTCTAGGATGGCCACCAGAATCACAACTGCAAAATGGACAACTATACAAAATAATATAATTTTTATAAAGATAAAAATTAAAATTAAATCTGGAGAACAGATTGGAGAAGATCTTCAGCATGTAGACAAATATATAGGGGAAAAAACCCTCCCTTGCTTTAGGGTCTATATGAATTCTTCAGTGTTGGCACAAAGCCAGTAGAGTTTATTCTATTGGTCTAAAGCCTGAATTAGGCTTCTCCATCATCAGGGAACATATAACTCTGTCATTTGGAGACAGTTGCATAGCTTATACATCTGCGAATCCTACGCTTAACCCATCAACCTTTTCACAGCATATATATGCAACAACAACTAGGCACAGTTGCAGGCAACTCTAAATCAAGCTTAAGAGCCATGGTGGTACAGTGATTAAAATGCAGTACTGCAGGCTACTTCTGCTGACTGCTGTCTGCCAGCAATTTGGCAATTCGAGTCTCACCAGCTCACGGTTGACTCAGCCTTCCATCCTTCTGAGGTCTGTAAAATGAGGAACTCAGATTGTTGGGGGCAATATGCTGACGCTGTAAACTGCTTAGAGAGGGCTGTAAAGCACTGTGAAGCAGTATATAAGTCTAAGTACTATTGCTATTGCTATTGCTATTAAGGCATATCCCTCTTCAGGGGATATTTGCTGGTTTTCTTATCCCATTACACACACAAACACAAACACATACACACACGGTTGTTCCGTTCCCTGCTGCCCCATGTAAAAGCTGATACTACTATTTTTCATTCCCAGGATAGGGTGGCTTTTTTTTCCTTCCCTTTTACCCTGGAGATGTTCTTCACCCAAGAGGATGACTTGGAAGGTGAGTCATGCCATTGTGTGTCAGAGAGAAGTTCAGAAACAGTTCGGCTCTAATGGGTTTGAGGTATTTTGCCTGTTTTGGGAAATTGATTGGCCTGTCACATTGAAGACAGAGGGATTTAATTTATGGGGTGTAATTCTCTGGAACATTCCCTAGGTTATGAACGCACAACTTTTTCTAGACTGAAGTTGATATTTAGCCTTTGGGAGGCATGCCACTATCATTATCACCCTTAAGATTGTTAAGAGACAAACACAAAATTCTATTTAAAAATTGAACACATATTAAAATTTAATTACAGAGAAATGTAATTAATATGATCACTCTCCACTTATATATTCACTCACCTTCTCCAATATTAAAAATTACAAATTGGTTACAACTTTTGGAGATTTCTCAGAACTGAAGCCATGGTTTCAGGGGACTATAGACAGCCTTGAAGCCTCCAATTGAAAACTTCTGCTCTAGAAAAAAACCTGTACACTAATGGCCGAGGCCTGCAGAAGAATAGGATGTGTTGCATAGCTTGCATTCATTTCAATGAACTACTTGCAACTATGTCAGAGGATTGTGCCTCTGAGCAATGGTTTATTCTGATCCTAGTGTAAAGCTATTGGGCTAGATGACCTACAACACAGGTGTTAAACTCGCCGTGTCACGTTGCCGTCATGTGACGTTTGGTGACGTTTTCCCCCTTTGCAGAGCTGGGGTGGGTGTGGTCTGTGCGTGATGCATCTGGCCCATGGGCCGCCAGTTTGACACCCTTGACCTACAAGGTCCCTTCCAACTCTGTTAATCTGTTAAAAAACATCCCTTCATCAGCAGAATTGCCCTACTGTTTACCCTGGAATAAAACATGACATTGATGCGAGACTGGCTGGACTCTTATTCACTTTCTTCCTTCCTCTTATAGGCTCCCTCCCTGAGTGGCCTGTCCTATACTTTGAGGTTCTTTCCTTGGATTTCTGGCATAGGTACCGTGTTGAAGGCTATGGTTATGTAGTGCTGCCAGCAACGCCAGGTAAAAGACAGCGCTAGAAGTGAACTTGCATTGGTGCAACTCATGAAGCAAATTTATTTGTTGATTTTTATTTATTTATTTGATTTATTGTATATAACCACTTTTATGAGACTCCTGAGTGATTTACATAAAACAAAAATCAAAATACATTTTTATTTTTTTACTTGCCTCTAGTAGTGTATGTTCATCATACATTTTAGTACTAGATGCTCTTCTGATAACTGTATTTGAGCAAACTTCCTTATTTTCTTTAACTGCTAGAATTCTGGAAACTCCTTTTAAGATGGCATGCTCTTAGCATTTAAGGTGGCATGCTTATAATAGATCCTCTCTTTATCATGCCTTTCTGTCATTCTCCTAGTAGACTCACATTCCTATTGATGGGTGAAATTTCCTGGGTGGTTTTGGGCATTTGTCCTTTGCTGTTGTTCAGTTTAACACATTAGGAAGAGATTAACATGCAACAATTTTTGTGGGGAATGGCAGATGATTTAAGGTTTGGAAAGGATTGCCTTCCTTCCATTCAAATGGGATAGTATATCCTCGATAAAAGATTAATGCACCAAGTGATGTGAACATATCCTACGGTCACTGCCAAAAGATGGGCAAATTCACTGAGTGTGTACATTGTGCTAAGCTGTAATGTGGTTGATTGGGTTTGTCTTAGTATCATAGTATGATACAAACATAGTCATTGTGTTATATAAACTATAGTTTATAGTCCATAAGCCACCCACAATCACTCTGCGCCTGAGATGCCACATAAGCCTGCAAATATATAAATAAAACTTCATGTGTGAATTGAGTACTATGGCATCTTTTACAAGCCATGAAAATCCAGCTTCTCTCTTCTATTGTAGAGTATCTGTACATTTTCCTTTGCTTGTAGTACACAGTTTCCAGGTCATGTATTTCACTGGAACTTTTATATTGTGATCTCAGTGGCTAACATACTGGTAGTGGGCCTGCATGTTCTGAGTAACCTTTTGATTTTTTCCCTCCCTCATATCTCTGGCATCAATCCCATTCAACCTGACGATTCAGGAGTTCACACTTTGTCTGTTTCTACATGGCGTCCTGTAGAGTTGGGCACCATTTCAGAACTACGGAGGTTTTTCATTGGAGGATCTCCAGAGCTTGAGGATATAACCTACACCAAAGTGCCAAGTACTTTCACAGTGAGTGCCTGCCTCCCCATGCCCACCCATATTTTCTGCAAAGCATTTTGGTCTAGAGCTTGGCACATTTATTGAGAAAGAAGGTTGAAGACTCAGATAGAACTTCCTCTAAACCAGGGGTCTCCAACCTTGGCAACTTTAAGACTTGTGGACAAAGCTGGCTGAGGAATTCTGGGAGTTGAAATCCACAAGTCTTAAAATTGCCAAGATTGGAGACCCCTGCTCTAAACTGACACTTATTTTTTGTGCAGGGTGATCGTCTCAGCCGTTTGGGTTTTCGTTCTGAAACAACAGGGAGTGTCACTTTCCGGCTGAACTGCCTGCAGCAGTCCAAGTAAGATTTTCTCTTCACTAGAGAAAGAATTTCTGGACATTCTGAACATGCATAGGGAAGAGAATCTCTTTCCCTCTTCCGAGAAGCAAAAAGTGGCTTCTGTTATCAGCTTGGTTATCTGCCTTTGGATTCAAATGCCTAATTTTGATATTCTCATTGATACAGATGCACATACATAGTCCTTGCTTACTGATCACTTACTTGAAGGTGTAACAACACCGAACACTAGTACTTATGACTGGTCCTCAAAGCTTAAAAGTTATAAGTTTAAAACTTATTTCTTGGCAGAGCTTTTCTGGAGTCCAGCTCCATGAAGAAACGCATGCAGAGTGTTCTGGATCGACTAGGAAACTTCAGTCAGCAAAGTTCCCTTTATAATGTTTTAGGTAAGGCTTTTGACACAGAAACAGGTAGGACTTTTTTTGCGCAAAGCAGAACTATTTGGATCTTGGTCATTACAATTTCCCTATCAGGAAAGATTGCAATATTTGATCTTTTTTAGTCTAAAAAGAAGATGAAAGGGGACGTGACTGAAACGTCACACAACTATGTATGGTGCAGTTAAAGTGGACAAGAAGCTATTTTCCCCTTCCCAAAATTCTAGAACCAGAGGTCACTCAATTAAATTGAATCCTGGAAGAATCAGGGCAGACAAAAGGAAATATTAATGCATAATTAAATTTTGGAATTTGCTACTGTGAGATATGTTGTTGGCTATCAACTAAGGTGGCTTCAGAAACAGGTTGGATCAATTCATGGGAATAATCCAAGGGGGTTAATGATTATTAGCCTTGATGACAGTGTAATTGCTTTAAAGGCCATTGCTGGGAAACTAGCTGGCTTCCTTGTGTCCTGAGTTGGCACTGTGATAAGAGACTGATGGACCAGGGACCCAATCTAGCAGGGCACCATTTTTGTTCTTAGGATTCTCAATGGCCATTTTATGCATTTTAATTCTAAATTGTTTCAATGTATGGTAGTTTCTTTAAAAAGCCCAAATTAATAGGTGGTTATTCATTTTTATTAAATATGAACATATCTTCTAATTAAATATTGTTTTAAATAATCTTGAACATTAGAATCATTTAAAGAGGATAGTATTTTTTATCTATTTTATCATATGGCATCTGTTTCTTATTTGCAAAACTCAGATTTACCAGAGGTGTATGTATATATATATTATTTATTAAAGGTAAAATAACTTTGTAGCCCCCCCAGGTTTTTTTAAAAATATAGAATAAAATATTTGTTATTCTGGATAGTGTGTCAGAATAAGGGGGTAAGAGGAATTCAAAATCATTGTTTTGCTTTTGCCCAATACATTTTCTTTCTCTCTTCCACAGAGCTACTAGAAGTTAGACATACTTTCTAGCCTACATAATGTATTCAACTCATCGCATGCTTTGAATATTACAGCATGGGATTTCGGTTAAAATGTCTAGAAGGAAGGAGTGGTCAGGCAAAGGAACTAGCTGACTGCGCAGGTTGAACCTCCACCTAACTACCATGTCTCTTCTCTTTGTTGCAGAGGCGTTCCAACGGGCTCGTCAACGGATGCAGGAAGCCCGAGAAAGCCTTCCTCAAGATTTGATTCGCACTTCAGCCTCTGAAGTTCACAATGATGAAAGCATCATCAAGCAGCCTGCTGTCTTCTAAGATGTTCTCCACCAGTGTTTCTCAGCCACCTGAAGACACATGGACTTCAACTCTCATAATTCTCCAGCCAGCTCTGCGCCTGGGGTTCTCACCTCTGCTTTTGCAACTTATGGGGGGAGTCCTGCACCTCAGTTTGAATCTGGAGGTGGGCCATGTGGTGCTGGGCATAGGTGCTTGGACTGCTGTTTCTTCAAAGAATGTGACAGAAACCTCAGTATTTCTCCCTTTCTTCGCACAAGATCATGAGATTACAAAAAAAGTTCTATGTCTTAGGAAGGCAACCATGTTGTACAGTATTTTATTTTGTCTACATGGATGTGTTTTTGTATCTAAATGTGTGTATATTTAAATATACATAGGGATATATATATTAGTCTCCCAAAGGGCAGCAAACTGTTTGCTTGCTGTCTGGAAAAGCCTAGAACTAGTGAATTGTGATTTCACTGAGCTATGGCAGCATTTTGAAAATCTTGGTTTACGTAGGAAAATACCCGGCTGAGGAGAAATACACATAAAGGGTTTATGATAAGAGAAGAAAACATATACTTGACCTCTATGGGGTCTACGGGACCTCTACGGGGAGGAAACGTGTGATGAGGGTGTGGCTAACTGATAAGGAGTAATTAGTCCGAAATAGATCTATATTAGTCTCCCAAAGGGCAGCAAACTGTTTGCTTGCTGTCTGGAAAAGCCTAGAACTAGTGAATTGTGATTTCACTGAGCTATGGCAGCATTTTGAAAATCTTGGTTCACGTAGGAAAATACCCAGCTGAGGAGAAATACATACATACATACACACACACAGACACACACACACATATTGTACCTGTACTCTGTTTATAACAAAGGACAAGCAACAATTAAAACAATGATATTTCATTATTACTATTTGTAAAGAGGTTTATTTCTTAGAAAAACAAGTACTTAAAACACACAAACACAAGTTGTCCCACACAACTTTTTTCTTCCAGTAAGCTAGAGAACAAGGATGCTACTGGTACATTGCATCTTTGTCTCCATCCTTTTTCTATGCAAAACCAAAATTGCCTTGAATTGAAGCAAAGGGTGCAGAATAGCTGGGAAGCTGTGGGCTCAATTTCAGGTGGTGCAGCCACCTGTGAATCTCCTAATGACTCATGCAGGGATTGGAGCTGTAAAATTCCTGCTAGCAGCTTCCTAGGATTCTTGTAGGAAGGAAAGTTTTTCCAAGTTGCTTTCCTGATTTGTTGCTAATCCCCTTAGTGTTTGGACTACCTTCCCTTTTTTTTACATTCAAATTTGTAATTAGTTTATCAAAATATAAAATACAGAAATACAAAGAAAAATGAAAATAAGGGGAAAATGAGGGAAAGGAAAAGAAAAAAGTGTAGGAAAAGCAAAAGAAAAACATTGATTTATGACTCCATTTGGCACAGTAGAATAAGGTAATAACGTACAACCTCAACTTTTTACTTTTACATAATAGTGTACACTAACCATTCCATAACAACAAACCTATTGTCAGCTTTGAAATGGATTGGGCCTGTCGCAGCCATTTTCTCCATTTCTCAGCTTGACGTACTTTGGGGGAGGAGGAGCTTTGGAACGTCAGACCAGACAACAACTTACTATCTCGTGGGAACCGAGGTCATTCTACCAGGTGCTGGCCAGAGACTGGAAGAGGTTACCAAGGAGCCGTCAGAACATGTAATTGGACAATGTGACCTGTGAAAAGGAGGGAGGGAGCTGTTTAATTTTTTAATTACACTGAAAGCAAGGGAAATAGCCAGAGCTGGTTTGTTCTTCAACCGTGCTGAAATGATGTACTCAAAGCAGTTCTTTGAGAAAGCTAAAAGTCTCAAGAGTTGCTGAATTGGTTGGGTTCGTTACTTGGAACCTTGACACCTATCTAATCAACAAAGTCCAAAATCAAAGTTTCATTTTTTTTCCCACCTCGAGCACAAAGTCCAAAAGTGGTTTCCAAGTAGAAACAAAGTTAATTGTATTCTTGTCTCTAATTAAAGAAGTCAATTTAGCTATCTCGGCTAACGCCATCAACTTTTGTAGCCATTTGCCAATATGGGAATCAAAGTATCTTTTATTTTTGTGCATAAAGTATTCTTGCTTCAGCATAGTATTAACATCAACATTATATTTTTTAAATATTTTTTTTCAAGTTCTTTATCCATTAAATCCAAAAAAAAAGTCACTGGTTTTATCTTATATTCATTTTAAGAATCCTCTGTATTAAGATGTGAATCCTACTCCAATATTTCTTTGCTGAACTCTCTTCCTTGACTCGGTTCATATGAATGAGCCAAGGGCTCCCCAGGTTTCCAGTGATGTCACAGAGCTCTGTGAAGGTTGCTGTTCCATTAACCAAGGTCAACTGGAACTTATCTCTGGGACACACTGTTCAACCTGGCCCATCTCAGTCATCAGCCACTCTTTAGGACTTCTCTGTCTTTGGGAATGATCAAGGCAAGATCTGAACATTCAACCCAGAACAAAGTGAGCTGGATGGGGGGATCCCTGCAAGAACCTTGCCGGGTGGGAGGGAGGTCTGTCTATACTATTTTACTGCCCTGTCATTTGCCATTTCTGAAACTTCATTCTTTGAGATATGACAACCTATTCAGGCTAGTGCTTGGCTTGCTTTATACACCATAGTAAAGCCTAATTCCAAGTTGTCAAAATGCAGCAGCATACGCAATTCTATACCCAACCAAGAAGCCATTAGGTTGTTTGTTCACACGTGAGCTAAGACAATGACAGGGATGCCATAAAGACTTGCCATATTCTGCAAGAGAAAGATAATTGCATCCCCACCATAAGAATGGGAGGTGAGTTGGGGAGGGTAAATGCAAACCACAATCACTGCTTTTTTCACCATTGGACAGTAAACACGAAAGAGAAGCAGTATGAGCATATGGCTGATGAGGGAACACCGTCAAGTGGAGGTAAGACTTATATGTTCAGGGCAATGTAAATAAATGCAATAAATACCAAATATAATGTGTAATAGACTTTGTAGCAGGACATCAAATGTAAAGAATCTTTTGTGCCCCTACTTGCTTTTGCCCTTTTTGTACACAAATGGGCATTCTTCTTATGCTGTGGCTGTCTGCCATTTTAATTTCCTAACATTTGTGAACCAAATTGTGGTCTTGAAGCATTTTGGAATATAAAGATTTTTTTTTTTTTGGCATACCAATCTCCTGTGTGTGTGTGCGTGCACGTGCATGTGTGAGTCAGTATTGATTCCTAGTGACTGCCTAGATTCCCTGCAGTTTTCTTGGCAAGATTTCAGAAGTGGTTTGCTATTACTTGCTACTTAATGACCGGTCCAAAGTCATCCGGTTGGCTTAAGCTTGTGCTTAAGGCAGGACTAGAATTCATAGTCTCCCACTTTCTAACCTAGTGCCTTAACTACTACTCCTAACTGACTCTTCCTTTTACTTTTCAATTTTCAATTCAATTTTTAATTAAAAGTTTACTTTTTAATTAAAACACATTTAAAAACACAAAGAAGCCTTTTCCCCCATGAAACCAAGGGCACGTTATTTTTTTACCTACATAATTTTGGGACTTTTGTCCAGGACATCTCTGCTCCATCCGTCAACTGTTACAATTCCCAGAAGAAACAAACCCGAAGGATCTAGTATTTCATATTATACATGCAGCTCGTAACCAGCCAACTGTTGTGATGCCAGCACTCATGACAATCCTCCAACAGGATGAGGTATGGAAAATTGTTCTTTGCAACTCTGGATTATGTTCAGTGAAGCCAGGGCTCCACCAAGGCGTATAACCGTGATGGCGAACCTATGGCACGCGTGCCAGAAATGGCACGCAGAGCCATCTCTCCGGGAATGCTAGCCATCACCCATTGCTTTTCCAGGTTCTGGCACGCTGGCCATCTGGTCTTCGCACACGCATGCTTGCCAAAAACCGGAAGACCAGGTGACCGGGACGCATGTGCATGCTAGAAACTGAAAAGTTGGCTTCCCAGCATGCATGCTATCCCGGCTCCGGTGCATGTGCTCCGGGGAGCTGCTCTTCCAGTTTCTGGTGCTCCCGTGCATGTGCACTGGGGAGCTGCTCTTTTGGTTTCTGGTGGTCTTCCCCCATGTGCATGCTCCCATTTCAGCACTTAGTGCTGAAAAGGCTTGGCAACACTGGCCTATAACTTTCTGCAGTCTAGACCACAGTCCAGGGCCCACAGCCCTGCCCTGGAAACAGCAAACGACCTACCCATGGTACCTCTGCCAGTGAAAACAAATCTTGGGAGGACCATGTGTGGCCCTCCCAGACCCCGTTTTCAGACGTGATGGCCTCCTGCAACCCTCTGCCAGTGAAAACGGAGCTCGGGGAAGCTGCGTACTGCCTGCCCAGGCTCCTTTTTCAGCCTGGAGCCCTCCTGGAGCCCTCTGCCAGCAAAAATGGAGCCCTGGCTTCATTTTCGCTGGCAGAGGGCTTCAGGAGGCCATCGCAGCCGAAAACGGGCCTCAATTAATGATATTGAGCTGGCCATGCCCACCGATGTGAAGCACAACCCTGATGCGGCCCTCAATGAAATTGAGTTTGACAACCCTGGTCTAGACTATTCAGAAAAAGCACTGTAGTGCTGTAGAAAAGGATCTCTCCAGTCTGCCAGAGATGCCAGCTTCTGAACCTGCCATTTGCTATGTTCTGACTTTTTGTTCTGACAATGAAACAGGGCTTCGTTCCATACCTCTGCAGAAACGGTCTCTCTCCCACCTTGCAGGGCTCTGTCTGGGAGAAGGTGGCCATCTACCGCAGCCTTCGGGCGATGCTGGAGCGTGGCCTGGAGGTGGAGCCTGCCTGCAGCTTTGTTCTCACAGCCTTGAAGCAGCTGAGAGCATCTCTGTTGGTAAGAAGGAACAATGTAAGCTGAATTTGAATCAGCTTTATTATCCGAATACGTAATATAGTCTTTGATCTCATTCTTTTTTTCGACAGGAGGTGCCTTGGGAGCTCCAAGTGGCTGTCAGCAATGCACTGGCTAGTTTTGCTCGCCGACATTTCAGTGTCATCATGAATGAGCTTCAGCGGCACCTCAAGCCTTTTGCCCAGCCTGATGAATTCACTCTCCTCACTTTGGGCAAGATCACGACCATGAATGGTAGGTTATAGCTCGGATTGGGTGAGAGTGGAAAACGACTGCTTCTGCCCCCAGTCCAAACATAACAGGACTCATCAGGATGTCCAGTTCTTGTCTTAGAGGGACATATAGGTAGTCCTCGACTTACCACCATAAATTGAGCCCAAAATTTCTGTTGCCAAGTGAGACATTGGTTAAGTGAATTTTGCCCCATTTGATGAACTTCCTTGCCATAGTTGTTAAGTGAATCACTGCAGTTGTTAAATTAGTAACATGGTTGTTAAGTGAATCTGGCTTCTGCATTGACCTTGCTTGTCAGAAAGTTGGGAAAGGTGATCACATGACCCCAGGACACTGTGGCCGTCATAAATATGAGTCAGCTGTCAACCTTCTGAATTTTGATCACATGACCAAGGGGATGCTGTCACGGTCGTAAGTGTAAAAACGGTCATAAGTCACTTTTTTCAGTGCTGTTGTAATTTTGAACGGTCATTGAATGAACTGTTGTAAATCGAGAGCTACCTGTAATTTAGACTTTAAAAGATTGCATTTATGCTCTTGCCCAACATATGGGAATAGTCTGTAATGTAGAAGTCAAAAGTAGCTCATGACTTTTCCCAAAGAGTTGCTCAACAATCTTTGTTTCTTGATTAATTCCCATTTCAGAGTTGCAAATTTCCATAATGATCGCAGCAACACTTCTCTTTTGACAAGCTCTTTCTCTCCCTCCTTCCCTCCCTCCCTCCCTCCCTTTCTTTTCCTCCCCTTAGTGTACCACTGTGTCCCCTTCTTTGGCATCACCCTAACCACCATGCAGACAGTCACACGTAGAATTGAGGATACCAGGAGACGCTGGGCCCTCTGCACAGGTGAAGCTTCTAGAGCTGATTCATGTTTCCCCATCACAAACCTTCAAACTCTTTGACTGGCAGCTCTGGGGAATCACAGACCCAGACCCCCATGAGTCAAACACTTTGAATTTTAATTGATCTGTTTAAGTGTGTTGTGTGAATGGTACGGTGGCCTAGAGGTGGAACTCTCTCTCACCTCACAATCAGGAGGCTGTGAGTTCGATCCTAGGTAGAGGCATATATTTCTCTCTCTGGGCACAATGAGAATATATCTGCTGAACAAAATTCCGCATTGGCGACAGGAAGGGCATCTGGCCAGTAAACAGTTGCCCAGGCTCTACCCCGCAAGGGATTTTTGGGTTATTAAAAGAAGATGATGTTTAAATATGTTGTGTGAATGAAGCCCCTAAGAAATAAAAAACAGAGGAAAATATGAATTGAGTGGTTGACAAATGACAATTTGTTCATACAACACGCTAAGCCAAATTCAAACAAACCAGTTATGACTAAGCAGAAGTGGACCCAGATTGGATCCTTCAAGCGGAAGTGTCTTTGCTGCTTTTCAAAACTGGACCAGCTGTAGTTCTGAAGACTTTGAAAGAAAGGTTGGCCGAGCTTCCCCATAAGTCCCACTGAGTAGCAGAATTGCAGAATTGCTGTCTTCCACCAACATTCTCACCTTTCTCTGTTTCCCCTACATACAAGCCCTTAAACAGATATGCAAAGCAATTCAAATCTATCTTCGGACCTGGGAAAGGAGTTCCTACCCACGTATCAGTGTCCAGCAATTCTCCATCTACCTTCTTCCACTTTATGCCTGTATCACTCGCACCTGGTTACCTGGAAGTCACTCCAAGGTGAGTTGCCAACTCAGAGGAGCTCATGAACCTGGCTCAGAACTGCCTTCAATTCTGTGTAGGAAGGCAAGGAAGGCAAGAAGGCAAAATGGCATTCACGTCAGAGGGACATCCAAATCTTTTTACTACCGGTTCTGTGGGCATGGCTTGGTGGGAGTGGTGTGGCTTGGTGGGCATGGCAGGGGAAGGATACTGCAAAATCTCCATTTCCTCCCCACTCCTCGGGGAAGGATATTGCAAAATCTCCATTCCCACTCCACTCTGGGGCCAGCCAGAGGTGGTATCTGCCGGTTCTCCAAACTGCTCAAACTTTCCACTGCTAGTTCTCTAGAACCTGTCAGAACCTGCTGGATTTCACCCCTGCTTCCTCTTCTATCCATCCTGGCAGGTCAGGCTAGCAGTTCTGAAGGCCTTAAGCCCCATGCTGAGCATCCTGCTTCCTAGGACGGAATTCCAGACTCAGATCTATGATGACATCATTTTGCTCTCATTGCAGTATGACAGCAGCAGCACTGAAGCTTTTTATATTTCTAAGGTAAAAGTCTGTAGAGATTCTCAGTCATCCGGGTGTCAGGATTCCAAGTAACACCCCCAACGAAAGAAAACTCCGAGGCTTGAGTTTCCTCAAAGTTCCATTTTATAAGAGATGTCATATTGGCACATCTGGGAAAACCCGAATCTGCAAGTTTCCAGATTTTCCCTACCCAAAGAAAAGGGACTTGAACTTGAAAAGTTCAAGTCCCAGCCCAATACCCACAAGTCCATCACATGATCCAATCAAAACACCGTCCAACCTGGAGATGCCTCCCAAGTCCAGCCTCCTAGGTGCAGGGCAAGACGGCCTTGACTTTCTGAGAAAGGAATGTTATTATGACTATATATCACCCTGGCTCCATACAATCCCCCCTCCCAGTTTCCCACAGCAGTAAATGTGGCAGGCCTGAAGGCCCAATTCAAAATATGGCTTCCAGGTCTGACACCGGATCGTGGTTATCCCAAAGGTGCTTTTTTTCTGGAGGCAACTGGACTTTCTAGTTTCTTCTTTGAAGACATTTCGCTTCTCATCCAAGAAGCTTCTTCAGCTCTGACAGGATAGTGGGGAATGGAAGTATTTATATTCCTTGCAGACAACTGGTCATTTGTATCCTTTTAGAACAGGGCTGTCAAACTCTTGGCCCACGGGCCGGATGCGTCACGCATTGGCCACACCCACACCCTGTTTAGCGAAGGGGAAAAAGTCCCGATATGTCAAGTGACGCTGCTGTGACAACGTGAGTTTGACACCCTGTTTTAGAGGGTCGTTGAAGCTCTTGGAGGTTTATCTGTGTCCTCAGGGTCACCTGAGTAGTGCTCCTGGTTCCTGTAGTCTGCAACTTTTAGCTATACAATTTGGGACGAACAATCTTTGAATGGTGTGGGAGTAGGAATGGATTTCCAGAGGGGAAAAAAATTGCAGACTATAGGAACCAAGAGCACTACTCAGGTGACCCTGAGGACACAGATAAACCTCCAAGTGCTTCAACGACCCTCTAAAACAAGGGTGTCAAACTGGCAGCTCATAGGCCGGATGCATCATGTGCAGGCAACGCCCACCCCAGCTCTGTGAAGGGAAAAATGTCACAATACGTCACGTGACAGCAACGTGACACAATCGAGTTTGACACCCGTGCTCTAAAAGGATGCACATGACCAGCTTCTGCAAGGAATATAAATCCTTCCATTCCCCACTATCCTGTCAGAGCTGAAGAAGCTTCTTGGATGAGAAGCGAAACGTCTTCAAAAGAAAAAACAAGAAAGTCCAGTTGCCTCCAGAAAAAAGCACCTTTGGAACATCTCTGAGGTAAGGAGATTTGAGATTCCCACTCCTGCTATACAGATGGCAGCCATTCCTTCAAGGAGTCAGCAAGCTAAGATGCTAATTGTAAACTGTTTATTTAACTATATTCCCACTCACGCACCACTTTTATCAGAGATTCAAATTCTGTAAGGAAGCTGCAACCCTTATCCATATAGCACAGGTAGTCCTCAATATACGACCAAAATTAGAATAGAATAAAAGAGTTGGAAGGGACCTTGGAGGTCTTCTAGTCCAACCCCCTGCCCAGGCAGGAAACCCTACAACACTTCAGACAAATGGTTATCCAACAACTACTTAAAAATTTCCAGGGTTGGGGCATTCACAACTTCTGGAGGCAAGTTGTTCCACTTATTGATTGTTCTAACTGTCAGGAAATTTCTCCTTAGTTCTAAATTGTTTCTCTCCTTCATTAGTTTCCACCCATTGCTTCTTGTTCTACCCTCAGGTGCTTTGAAGAATAGTTTGACTCCCTCTTCTTTGTGGCAATCCCTGAGATATTGGAACATTGCAATCATGTCTCCCCTAGTCCTTCTCTTCATCAAACTAGACATACCCAGTTCCTGCAACCGTTCCTCATATGTTTTAGCCTCCAGCCCCCTAATCATCTTTGTTGCTCAAGATTGAGCCCAAGATTTGTATAGTTAAGTGACATAATTGTTAAGTTAATTTTGCCCCATTTTACGTCCTTTCCTGCCACAATTGTTAAGTGAATCACTGCAGTTGATAAGTTAATAACCTGTTGTTAAGTGAATCCTGCTTCCCCATGGACTTTGCTTGTCAGAAGGTTGCAAAGGGGAATCACATGACCTTGGAACACAGCAACTGTCATAAATATGAACCACTTGCCAAGCATCTGAATTTTGATCACATGATCATCTGGATGCTGCAAAGGTTGTAACTGTGAAAAACAGTCAAAAGTCACTTTCAGTGCCGTTGTAAGTTTAAACGAACTATTTAGGACTACTTATACAACTACAAAAATGGTCAAATATATGAAATATCACTCTGGAACAAAAAGGCAGCACTGCCCCATTCTTTTCTGAAGATTCACAAATATGGTGGGAAGGTAACTTAGAAAGGATTTCGTAGAGAAAAAGCTGGAAGTCATCACGAGAATGGACCTGGATCTGCCAGACTTCTGAGGGACCTTCTTACCTCATGGGGAGGAAAATCAAGTGTCTTCCACTGTTAGATTTGAGAAAATGTGAGCCTTTTCCTTCATCAATATTAATGTTCCATTTCCATGATGCTGGGCTTGTCTCAGCTATATACCATTTTTAATGCAGACATATCCAGTACCACAAATTTTAAGCTACCGTGGTCCCACCGTAGGTCCGTGCTCTGTAAAATTCATAAGGACTGGAGCATAGTTGTAATTGTTGCAGCATTCAGACTAAATGATATTCATGTCACTCAAGACTTGGTTTTTTAAAACTTATTTTTTAAAAATAACTTTATTATTTATTTTTAAAAAAATCCTGCCTTTCCTTCAAGAACTCAAAAGTTTATGGAGTGGGAGAGGGGCAGAAGTGGTTGTTTTAGTGGTGAAATCCAAATTTTTTTACTATCGGTTCTGTAGGCGTGGCTTGGTGGGCATGGTATGGCTTGGTGGGCGTGGCAGGGGAAGGATACTGCAAAATCTCCATTCCCACCCCACTCTGGGGCCGGCCAGCCATAAGTGGTATTTGCCAGTTCTCTGAACTGCTCAAAATTTCCGCTACCAGTTATCCAGAACCTGCTGGATTTCACCCCTGGGTTATTTCCTCCAGCAGTCTTGGAATGTATGTTGGCTTGGAGAGAAAAATTGGCCAAGCATCTCTGCATGAGCTTTTTGGTTGAGTAGAGACTTCAAAATGGTCTTCTTGATCCATATCTATCAATTTAACCCATTATTGCTCAAATTTGGCAACTTTAGGCTGTGTGGACTTCAACTCCCAGAATTCTAGTTGGAAATTCTGTAAATTGAAATCCATGCAGTTTAAATTTGCTGAGGTTCAGAAACACTGGGTTAACCATTATATAACATTGCCCATTCCCTTCTTCATCCTAATTTCTTTGGAGTACAAGAAAAAAAAGAAAGAAAAGTATATACATGTATTAGTTTTATATTTATTACAGATCTTGGGCCAGATTCTGGAAGCTTCTCTAGTGAACAAAAACCCAATCCCAAGTATGTATGTGGGACCCCTTGCACAGAATCTGATCCTGCAGGTAAGAATGGACAAATTACAGATTGCAATTTTGTATGTGTGTAACATTTTTCTTGTTATGAACACCATTTATTTATTTACTAGTGAAATTTCTTTGGAAATATGTTACACTTAGAACAGTTCTGCAATGTAAAGAATATTCATAAAGAAAGGTTGAGATTAAACTAGGCAATAAGAATGTTTTCCATTCCAACTGATTTCTATTACCTTCCCACTTCCATTGATTTTTCTCACAAGCAGTGTGGATGGACAGCTACTACACTATGTGTTGCCCTGAGCAAATAGATGGAGAAGTCAAATGTACACAAACATGTACACACACATACAACACACTTATACTTTATCAGATTTATATATCTCACCAGAAATGACTCTAGGCAGTGTACAAAAATTAAACAAAACAATAATATGCAGGTAGTCCTTGATTTAGGACCACAATTGAGCCCAAAAGTTCTACTGCTAAGCAAGACAGTTGTTAAGTGAGTTTTGCCCCATTTTATGATCTTTCTTGCCACAGTTGTTAAGTGAATCACCGCATTCGTTAAGTTAGTAACACTTAAATGAATCCGGCTTCCTCATTGACTTTGCTTGCCAGAAAGTCTCAAAAAAAATGATTACATGACCCTGGGACACTGCAATGGTCATAAATACATGCCAGCTGCCAAGTGTCTGAATTTCAATCCTGTGACTGTGGGGATTCTGCAACAGTTGTAAGTGTGAAAAATGCTCATCAGTCACTTTTTTCAGTGCTCTTACAACTTCAAATGATCACTAAATGAATGGTTGTAAGTCGAGGACTACCTGTAAAAGCAGCCATTGTAAAAACAAGCAATATTAAAATATAAATACCGTATTTTTCGGAGTATAAGATGCTCTGGACTATAAGACGCAGCTACCTTTTTTGGTGAGGAAAACAAGAAAAAGAAATCTGCCTCTGCCTCCCTGCAATTTTGCCTCGTTGCACCAAACAGCCTGCTTTACTTTCATTTTCGTTTTCAGCATAGCTTGATTAGCACAAGAAAAAAAAAATCTGCTCCCAGCAATTTACCTCCTTGCAGCAAGCAGCAGAGGCAATAGGCAATGGCAATATCTGCAGCCTGAAAACAGCTGAGAGTCGGGAGGCTGATCCAGCCAACAATCAACTTGTGCTAATTAGGCTGTGCTGAAGCTGAAATGGGCTGTTTCTTCTTGCTGCTTGCTGCAAGGAGGTAAATTGCTGGGAGGCAGAGGCGTGGGGGCCAGTGGGTGGGTGAGGTTACCCCGTTTTAGGGAGGAAAAAGGTGTGTCTTATACTCTGAAAAATACGGTATGTATTACTGAAAATTAAATATTATGAAAAATAAAGAATGCAAATCACAAACAGAATAAGTATATCAACCGCATCAACCTCAATAAGGGAGCCACCTTAAAATGTCATCAGTTCCCTGGGAACCCCAAGCCTGATGACATCACCAGGTCCTAAAAAACTTCAGTGTTCCCCTAAGCCCGTCAATCTTTATCCAACCAAAGCAGCTGAAGGGCAAAAGGAGTTCTGTCCTCCCAGCTTCTCAAGAACAGGGACTCCTGACCTCTCCTTTTTCTAGATCTGCAGCAGAGAGCAAAAGGAACATCTTCAATGGCAGAGCCACAACTCTGTTGAAATCACACAGCTCTTCCTAAAGCTAGGTACAGGCAAGAGCCACTTCTTTGATGTTTATGTAAGTTAAATTCAAATGAAGTCATGTTAGAAAGATCCCTTCTGCCCATTTATCTGACAGTATTCCTGCCGCATTAAAAATTACATTTTGATAATACTGTAGGATGTACAGCTGCAGGCTGTACTAAAGGCTTCTGAGGCTAGTATAAGCCCTGAATACCCAGCTTCATAGGGACGCGGCCCCTCAGTGGCTAAAACGCTGAGCTTGTCGATCAAAAGGTTGGCAGTTCAGCGGTTCAAATCCCTAGTGCTGCATAACGGGGTGAGCTCCTATTACTTGTCTCAGCTTCTGGTAACCTAGCATTTCAAAAGCACGTAAAAAATGCAAGTAGAAAAATAGGGACCACCTTTGGTGGGAAGGTAACAGCATTCCATGCGCCTTTAGCATTTAATTATGCCAGCCACATGACCACAGAGACATCTTCAGACAGCACTGGCTCTTCGGCTTTGAAACGGAGATGAGCACCGCCCCCTAGAGTCGGGAACGACTAGCACATAATTGTGAGGGAAACCTTTACCTTTACTTTACCCAGCTTAGCCTGAAAGATAAGTTTGGAGAAGTGGTTAAGGCTTTAGGAGTGGGAAAGTAGGGTAGGTGAGCTTGGGAACAAGTTGTAAGTCTGCATTCTAGGGCAAAATTGGGAAATTATTCCTCCTCCTTCTTTGGGCAGGAGGTTGGACTAGATGACCTACAAGGTCCCTTCCAATTCTGTTAATCTCTAATCCTCCTCCTCCTCCCAGATTTTAAATCTATGAATTAGAAACAAAACAACCCTGCAGTTGTTTTAATGCACCTCTTTTATTATTATTTTTTTTAAGTCTGCTAATCTCCCAGCAGGCAAAAGATTGGGCCAGATTTTTGTGACGTCACCATATTACTACTACAACATCCCCTAAAACACCCGGAGGGTTGAATGAAAAAAATGGCATAAAGCCACCTCCATGATATAACTGTTATATTTTTGCCTCCACTCAGCACGTTCACATCCTTCTGAGCTGCTGCGGTTTTTCCTGAAGAAGCTGGACGAAAGCCAAGGAGACATGCGCACGGTGGTGCTGTTGCTGCTGTCTGAAATTGTTGGTGCCCAATGTAAGGACTGGGATAGGAAGGTGGTTAGGCTCAGGATAGAAAGTCCCGAGTCCATTCGTTTAGTGACCGTTCAGAGTTACAACTGCATTGGAAAAAAAAGTGACTTGCAACTGGTCCTTGCACTTATGACCATTGCTGCATCCCAATGGCCATGTGATAAAGAAATTGGGTGTTTGGCAGTTGACATGTATTTACAATGGATGGTTGAAGCATACCAGGGTCATGTGATCTCCATTTTTGACCTTCCGAGTTGGCTTTCAACAAGCAAAATCAATGGGGGAAGTCAGATTCACTTAATGACTCCATGATTTGCTTAACGGTGGCAAAAAAAAAGTTGTAAAACTGGGTGTGACTCACTTAACAACTGTCTAACTAGCATTGGAAATCCTGATCCCAATTGTGGTCGTATGTCAAGGACTACCTGTATGTCAAAGTACTGTGTTTCCCCGAAAATAAGACCCTGTCTTATATTTTTTTTGAACCCTGAAATAAGCGCTTGGCCTTATTGCCATGTGCTCAAAAGCCCGATTGGGCTTATTATCAGGGGATGCCTTATTTTGGGGGAAACAGGGTAGTGTGGCTTCTTCAGGGTTTGAAATCAACCCTGAGCAGATATGTTCACATCATATCTTTAACCTAAATTAACCCATTTTACAGACTCATACAACGCCATAAAGCAGCAGACAGATAGGGTTTGCCACACACAATGTACCAAGCTACAAAACAACTAAAATGAATATTTCTTTCATAGGTCTTTGTTTAAGTGTGTTCTGCAAACTATCACACACAGAAATGTATCAGGCCCAACTATAGATTAAACATTGTGGCTGCAAGCCACAGTTCAAATTTCAGTTCAGCTGTGTCCTGAGTCTGGCTGGTTCCTCTTCTCTTCTTCTCTCATCCATCTTTATTTGCCCCTGGGAGACCATCATTTCTTCATTTCTTAACCTGTGAGGCCTCTTAGTCACAAATAACCCCAGGCTACAGTGGTATCTGCAGGATGTGGTCAAAAAGATCAAGATAGTGGTTGCAATGGTGCAATCAGAACTCCAATTGTTTTATAAGTTTTGCCTCAATGGTGAAATCCTCCCCAGTTTTCCAGTGGTTTACTGCCCGTGCATGCGTGGTGCGCACCAAATGCACGCTGTGTGTGTGCATGCACAGTGCACACCAAATGCATGCTGCACACACATGCTCAGTGCGTGCCAAATGCACCCTGCAAGTACACACATGTGCAGTGCATACTAAATGCCCGCTGCATGCACGCGCATGTGCAGTGTGCACCAAATGCATGCTTCACATCGAAAAAGGAGGCTTGGGAAGTTAAGTAGAACAGCAAATGGGGGAACAGCTATGCTATGCGATTTAGATTTGCTAGAAAGTAGGATTTCCTGCTTTGTAGCGAATTTAAATCGCGCGGCACAGCTGATCGTCAGAAATACCAGTTTGGATGAACTGGTAGCTTTTATCACTACCGGTTTGCCCAAACCGGTGCGAACCGGTAGCATTTCACCCCTGGTTTTGCCTCTGTGACTCACGTTACAAATAGCAAAGTCTCCATTGCATTGTTGTGGCCACCATCTTGAGTTTTTACCATATCCTGGGGACCAGTGGTGGGTTCCAACCGGTGTTACCACCGGTTCTCTTTGCACACGCGCTTTGCACGCGATTGGCGCGTGTATGCTCGCTTCCCTCACACGCACGCCAAATTTGCACTCCGCGCAAGCGCATTACATTTCTGGCCAGCTGAGGCGCGACAATCCACTCTGCCACGCCTATCAGCTGGGCTAAAAAACTACAAATAAAGGTAGGTATAACACGGGGTGGGTGGGAGGGCCCAGCTCCCAGTCAAAGAGAACTGGTTCGGTGATGTCACATCATCACCACTACCGGCTCGCCCGAACCAGGCCAAACTGGGAGCAACCCACCACTGCTGGGGACACTGGACAATTAGAAGATTAAAACAAGAAGTAAAAAATAACCAATGAACAAAAAGAATATATGATGTGAAGGTAACAAAACAAGCATATGCCCAACCAACCACTATCAAGGAGTTCATCGCAACATCTTACCCAAGAGTCTGTCTTCCAAGCCAACTTGGTACAACTCTAGGGAAGCCCAACAACAAGTGAAAAGAGCTTTGATTAAAAATGATATTTTTCTCTGATTTTTTGTTTAGCTGTGGATGCTTTAGATAGGAAGATGTTAAGTACACTTAGGCATGAAGGGAGGGGCTGCTCACACAAAAGCTATAGCAAGCACAGATATAAAAACTACGGGCCCCCACCCACCAGAAAGAAAATGACACTTGCTTTGCTAGCATGGCTGCGCTGTATACAGAAGCAGAATTCAATTCATCAGTCTGAGGCTGTGATATGGGTGTCCCAGGCAAAAATGCAGGCAAAAGCAGATGAAGAGGTTGAAATATGGAAATGGATTTAAACCAGCTTCATTCCTAAGCAATTTATGCACAGGAGCTTGGCAGCTTAAGTTTGCAGTGCAGAAAAACCCAGAGATGTCCCAAAGGTGCTTTCTTTAAAAAGGCAACTGGAATTTCTTGTTTTGCGTGAAGACGTTTCACTTCTCATCCAAGAAGCTTCTTCAGGTATGACTGAATGGTGGAGAATGGAAGGATTTGTATTCCTGTCAGTCATGTGGTCATTAGCCTTCTTTTTGAGAGTCGTTGAGGCCACTTGGAGGTTTATCCATGCCCGGAGGGTCACCTGAGTGCTATAATCTGCAATTTCCTCCCTCCTGGAAATCCGTTCATACTTCCGCACCTAAAGCAGAAGTTTGGTTGTCCCAAAGCACGGTAGAATATATAAGGTCATCAGTTGTCCAGGTCATGGGACAACCATGATCTGGACAACTGAGAATCTTCATACACAAAACCCAGAGAGTTTTTACATTTATGATTAGTGCTTCCTCTAGGGCTAGGCCATGGTTTCCCAACTGTAGCAACTTTAAGACCCGTGGACTTAAACTCCTACAATTCCCCAGCCACCTATGTTGGGAGTTGAAGTCCTCATGTCTTAAAGTCAGCAAGGTTGGGAAACCTTGCTCTACAGGGGTGTCAAACTGGCAGCCCACGGGTCGGATGCGTCACGCGCAGGCCACGCCCACCCAAGCTCCACGAAGGCAAAAAACATCGCGATACATCACGTGACATCGTGACGCGGCGACTTTGACACCCATGCTCTATTCTAGGCAGAAGATTGTAGTAGGCCTTTTGACATTATCCTGGGTAAAACTATGAGGTGAATTAAATTTGTTTTTGTTTAATTTACCAGTGCATCTAACTAGAATTAAACAGACTTAATATATTCTCCAGTTAAGCATTTAATGATTTTCTCCCTCTGCCTTTCCTTCCCAATTGAAGTAATTATTTTTCAGAGTCCATAGTGGCAGCTCCTAAGGTTTCAAGGGCCCACAAACAGCCAGGGATTTCACATTGTACATCTCGTGTTAATAAGCTCCCATCTTTGCCCCCGTCTTTTTCAGTACCTGAGGTCTGGAACAGGAGGCTACTGTGTGTAAAGGTGGTGAAGGCTGTCCTGGTTGATGATAGCACCCCGGTGAGAAACTATATCTCAGCAGTTCTAAATTTGATGTGTGTCAATAGCAATTTTCTGCTGAAAAACTTTGTAATTACTAGGTAGTAGTCTTGTGAACTCTCAAGTCTCTTCTTTTTGTTATGTGTTTAAAATGGACAGTGATTCAAATATATGTGTGTGTGTGTATATGTATATATTTGTGTGTGTGTATGTATGGTTATGGGAATATACAGTATATATATTAAAAAAAATTCTGATGCTCACTCTCAATATATATATATATATATATATATAATTTTTAATATGTGCCAGTGTATTCACAGGAAAAAAATGACAATAAAGGTTATCTTATCTCTCTCATCTCTTAATTATTATTTCTCAGTGGAATATGAGAGAAGGCATAAAAAAAGAAAGCATAACAAGTTGAAATTAAATAGAATTTAAATGTTTTTTTGGAGACAGAATGCTTGAAAATAATCTGCCAGTTGACCCAGGGAGATAGGGGGAAGTTCCTCAGTGGAGGTAGCTGCTCAATTAATGGTGGACTCTACCTCTCCATCTCCTCCTTGCTCTCTACTTTCCACCCATCCATCTTTTTGTTATTGTATTGATCAGTGGTGGGATTCAAATTTTTTTACTTCCGGTTCTGTGGGCGTGGCTCAGTGGGTGTGGCGTGGCTCGGTGGGTGTGTCAAGGCTCGATGAGCATGGCATGGCTCGGTGGGCATGGCAGGGGAAGGATACTGTAAAATCTCCATTCCCTCCCCACCCCAGGGGAAGGTTACTGCAAAATCCCCATTTCCTCCCGATCAGCTGGGAGAATAGCCTATCTATTCTCTGCCCGGGAGGCAGAGAATAGATAGGGGCAGGGCCAGTCAGAGATGGTATTTACTGGTTCTCCGAACTACTCAAAATTTCCAGTACCAGTTTTCCAGAACTGGTCAGAACCTGCTGAATACCACCTTTGATATTGATGTACTCTATTTGTTTTCTTTTTATTGTTTATTGTATTGTTCTATTATTTTACTTCTTTTTGTTTACCCTCTTTTCAGTTCTTTTTATTGTTGTAAGCCATGGTAAGGTAGGCAGCAAATAAATTCAACCAATAAATGAATAAATAAATAAAATAATGTCATCAGATTAAAAATAATATAATTAGGCATCACAATGTGTCTAGAAAATATTATAATGATCAAAGAATGGCATAAAATCATTGATTAAGTGATACAGAAAGAGAAAAGCTATTGAACAGGCTGACCATTATGATTTTTGAATATTTATTATACATATTAATAAATATTGAAAATATATTAATATTTGATTATGCAGATTGATATATTTGATGTTAGAATTCATTTTCATAAATCCTTTTTCTTTTAAAACATAAAATGGGTGCATTATAGCAGACTTTAATGTCTTTAATTGCAAAAATAGAGAGAGAGAAAAATAGAAATTTTGCTTTAATTTTTTATAGCAATTCTTTTAAATGAAATACAGAAAACATATTAAAAATTGAAACCAAACAAAACCAATATATTCGGGAAGATATTAGAGACTGCAAAAATATAGCTGCAGGAATGAGAACAGGGCTGCATGTTTTCCATCCTGACAAGGTAGCATTTTTTTTTCTCTCAATGTCTTCTCCTAACCCCAAATCTCTGGCTGTTAGGTTTGTCTTGCAACGCTCCAGACTATTAGAAAACTGTTGTCTGTCGGTTATTTGGAGAAAATTGAAGGATGGCCCCTGAATTATATTGCCCTGCAGCTATCCAGGTCTGCCCATCAGCTGGTAAGGCTAATCTGAAATTTCAACAGTGGAGCCAGTGCATCAGTGGTGGGTTGCCCCCGGATCTCACCAGTTCTATAGAACCGGTAGTAAAACCAGCAGGAGACTCCGCCCACTGACCCCGACATCACCAAAACACTTCTGCGCAGGCGCAGAAAAGCGCGCGGCCCCGCTGCGAAGGGCTAGTAAAGGTAAGTAGAACCCACCCCTGCAGTGCATGTTGGGGGTGGGAGTAAAGTGGATGAGCCCAGTGACATCCCCCTTATATTTTGGGCAGGGTGTGCTCTCTTTCTTAACAGGAGCAGCTATTCTTTGTCGGCTTGCTGTTTTTCAAAATAAGAGAAAACTCTCAGCCCTGAAGAATATGCAGCAGCAATAAGATGGGAATGGGGCAGTGGTGAATTCTAAAATTTGTTACTGCCGGTTCTGTGGGCGTGGCTTGGTGGAGGAGGTAATGTGACTGGGTGGGTGTGACCAATTTTTTTCTTTTAAAGCCATTTTTTTCTACAACCTCTTCGGCAAAAAGGTTGTAAAAAAAATGCTTTCAAAAGGCTCTGACGATCCCAGCTGAGTTGCCTGATCGGCAGAGGCTTTTTTTCTTTTAAAAGCCTCTGCCGATCAGGCAACTCAGCTTGGATCGTCAGAGGCTTTTAAAAGAAAAAAAAGCCTCTGCCGATCAGGCAACTCAGCTGGGATCCTCAGCTGACGATCCCTATGACGATCCCAGCTGAGCCGCGTGAGCATCAGAGGCTTTTTTTTTTTTACTTTTAAAAGCATTTTTTCGGCCAAAGAGGTCGTAGAAAAAATGCTTTTAAAAATAAAAAGAAAAAGCCTATGATGATTGTGTGGCTCAGCTGGGCATGGGGTGGGGGAGAGGTAGGGATTTTTGCTACCGGTTCTCCGAACCACCCGCCTCCATCGCTACCGGATTGGGCGATCCGGTCTGAACCAGGACCATTTCACCCCTGGAGTGGGGGGGAAGGGGTGGAACCAAGAAAAAAATACGAGATGAACTCACACTCATGTACATAGACATTTATTTTATTTATTTAAGAGTGTTATTCTTCCATAGCTTCTGGATGTGCATCATATGGGTTTCTTTTTCTTCATTCTTTCCTTACCCAAACTTGAAACAGAGATTAACAAACAGGGCTGCTGCTGTCACATAACATGCTATGACCTGTCACAAACTCACCTGTATGACAGCTTGACGTAACTTCCACGTTCGGATGTTAAAGCAATGGCTACCTTCCCACAACCTTCTGTCCTTACAAACTACCCAATTCCATTTAGCTTAATCTAACACAGAAGATCCTAAACCTCTCAGCTCATTGACCCTTTCACGAAGTTTCAGACGGTTCATCAATCCCCATATATTCATTATATAAAAATTAATGAATACTGCTTTAACTAATAATACTATGAATAATAATAAGCAAAGCTAGTGCCAATAGTAATAGATGCCTTGGGCTCAATCCCAAAACAACTGATGTACTACTTGAACACCATCACTATTGACAAAATTACCATCAGTCAATTGCAAAAGGCAGCTATACTCGAAACAATTTATATCCTGTGACGATATCTTTAACGCTGTCAAACATCAACATTTGCCTATTCCAGATCCTTGTGAAGAACTCAATAGGTGGATAAAAATGCCAAATTTAGTCTAATCTTATGGCTGACTATCAACGAACCATAATAATAATAACTGGAGCACCACTCGGACACATTGGCATTGACAAAATCACCACCAGTCAATTGCAAAAGGCAGCTTTACTCAGAACAACTTACATCCTATGACAATACCTCTAATACCATCAAACATCTGCCTATCTCAGATCTTTGGGAAGGATTCCATGCTTGGATAAAAATGCCAAATCCAGTTTAAACATCTGGCTGAATGTGCAACGTACCATAATGATAGAAATAATTCAAGGCTGTTCCCACTGGCAACTGACCATCCAAACCTGGGTAATATTGTCTCATCACTAGTCACATCTTCTTCAGGCCTAGAGACTGCCATGGAGCTCTACAGAGGTGCCCAAAGATTAATGGATCTTAATTGGCCTGCCATCATTCATCAGCCATCTACTGATCCCCAGACATTTATTGATCCCTTGAGCTAGTCCTTTTGACATTTGGGGGTTGATATTGACCATTTTGGGGAACTCTGATCTAGCAGAATGTGCAAACTCTGGGTATGGCTAGATATCCAATTTTCTCTTTCAGACACAGCCAACATGGAATCTTCCTTTGGGAGGTTTAAAGGAGAAGGCCATGGAGAGAGTCAGTGTGGATCTTCTTCATTTCGCCGTAACTTCAGGAAGGGGTGCAAGTCAGGTCAGAAGCCCATTAAGACTAAGCTAGCTATGTTTAATTTCTTTGCAATCATTGCTTCATTCATGTCATGGTGGTGGTGCTGCTCATATAAATTCATTCATATAAATTCATATAAATCAGGGGTGTCAAACTCGATTTCATTGAGGGCAGCATCAGGGTTGTGTTTGACCTCGGGGGGCCGGGGTGGGCGTGGCCAGAGTGGGTGTGGCCAGCTCAACGTCACTCATGTCGGGGGTTCCTGTGTTGGCCTGAGCGCTCTGCCAACAAAAATGGGCTCCCGAGCGCCATTTTCAGCTCTGATGGCCTCCTGAAAGATAAAATACCTCTGCCAGATAAAATAGGCTCCCAAGCTCTGTTTTCAGCTACAACAGCCTCCTGCAACCCTCTGCCAGCAAAAACAGAGCTCGGTGAAAGCTATGTCTGGCCCTCCTAAGCTCCATTTTCACTGGCAGAGGCCCCACGGGCCAATCCTTTGCTGTTTCCAGGGCGGCCCCACAGGCCAGATCTAAGCACCTTGCAGGCCGGATCCGGCCCCCGGGCCTTGAGTTTGACACCCCTGATATAAATAGTCTTTATTTGCCTTGGTATTTTATTCCTTTTTTTTGGTATTACCATATAAATTGAGACATCTTGTGGAGGAACCTGAAACAAAATGCGGGGTGGGGGGGGGATTGGCACTGTGGGAAAGATCAAATGTGACACCATGACAAACTTCATGTAAAAATCTGGATTTAATGCTCTTAGTACAAGGAGGAGGAAATCTTCTGAGAGTAATATGTGAGAGATTCACTTCAGAAAACATAAAAAGCCAGCCATGCCTCCTTTAGATCAGAGTTTCTCAATCCTGGCAACTTTAAGATCAGCGGACTTCAATTCCCAGAATTCCCCAGCCAACCAAAGTTTGTCTTGATGGCATCACTGCAAAATGGCTTTAAACCTAAGAGGAAAGCCAGGAAGGAAGAGACATATTGAGTGATTCTTTTAATCTGATACAGCATAGTTTCATTTTAGCAGGTTAAACCTTTTATTTATTAGGAAAAAAGCATATTTATATAATAATACCTGTGAGCATGTCTGAGGTACATTGCTCTTTTTATTGAATGTCCTGTGAGGCTGGATGGACGGTCAGACAGACATACTGTATATAAATAGAGATTTGATAATGCTAGAGAAGAAGCAGACTGTAAGGGTTTAACTATTCTTTCCCTTCTGGTAGGAATTATGGAAAAAGTTGCTCAACTATCTAATGCAGCCACATTACACTAGTTTGGCTACACCTCTGTGCCAAGCCTTGCGGCTCTTAGCTGAACACCGACTGAGGTGGGTTGTTCCAACACAGGCTACATTGGAGCCAGGTGGGTACCAGCAGGTCTAACACTCAGCTGGGATGCTTCATTCCTTGTAGGGGGAGATGGTAGAAGCAACCTAGCTGAGGAATCTGCAGTTGTCTAAGAGATTCTGGAAAATCTTGCAGATCTTCCTGGCTATGAAGCAACTAGCCACCTTTAAATGTCTCAGGCTATCGTATTATGAACTCATGCTGTCCATTAGCCTGTCCATTTGTCAGTTGATGTCTAGATAAAAGAAGATAAATGCCCACATTGTCACTAGACCAATAGCAGGTTACAAATCCTGTCGCTACTGATTTGCTCGTGGCTGCATGTGCACTTGCGCGTGTGCAACACTTCTGCACATGCGCAGAAGCATCGGGTGGGAGCCTCCTGCCGCCAGTGCTACCAGTTTGCCCAATCCGAGGTGAATCGGTAGCAACCCACCACTGCACTAGACCTAGGAAATCAGTTTCCATCACTTTATGATTTACTGAGGTTTTGTACTTCTCGGCCTCATCCATATTTCTCTTTCTCTCTCCACCTCTCAGTAGATTCACCAACTCCCCAGGGATTGATGGCTCGCCTTATAGTAAGTGATATAGCTGCAGGACCCGGGTTTATATCTCCTGCAACTTCACATGCCGTGTTGTAGGAATTTTGCCCCCTTTGATGCAGGAAGTCCATTAATTAGTTTCCTAGGTCCCCATTTTTCCTAAAATAGTCTAATGATGGTCAAGATCTGCTCAGAGGAGGAATTGTCATAACACATATAACCAACAATGGCCAGAAAGGCTAAACTGACAAGAAGCATTTGTATTTATATTCCAATATATTATCTCCAATGTAGATATTTGAAGGTACATGGCGGAAAACCTTCAAAAGGTAGCAATCTGCTGGACACCAGCTGGTCCAGCAGGTCTGTCAAACCATCCAATTCCTGGATTCTTCTCTATTGTCATGTTTGCTGTGACTGTGAGAGAGACCAGACACCTAGCTTCTTCAACCTGTTTCTTCTTTTTTGTGGGGGCAGAGGAGATGGGGACAGAGGGGATATGGACATAGGATTATTGACCTTATGGAAAACCAAATATAGAATAGAGTAGAGTAGAGTAGAGTAGAGTAGAGTAGAGTAGAGTAGAGTAGAATAGAATAGAATAGAATAGAATAGAATAGAATAGAATAGAATATCTTTATTGGCCAAGTGTGATTGGACACACAAGGAATTTGGTCTTGGTGCCTATGCTCTTGGAGTACATAAAAGAAAAGATACATTTGTCAAAAATCATAAGGTACAACACTTGATGATAGTCATAGGGAAACAGTCAATATCAATCTTAAGGATACCAGCAAACAAGGTTACAGTCATACCGTCATAAGTGGGAGGAGATGGGTGATAGGAACAATGAGAATATTAATAGTAGTGCAGACTTAGTAACTAGTTTGACAGTGTTGAGGGAATTATTTGTTTAGCAGAGTTATGGCATTCAGGAAAAAACTGTTCTTATGTCTAGTTGTTCTGGTGTGCAGTGCTTTATAGCATCGTTTGAGGGTAGGCGTTGAAAAAGTTTATGTCCAGGATGTGAGGGGTATGTAAATATTTCACAGCCCTCTTTTTGACTTGTGCAGTATACAGGTCCTCAATGGAAGGCAGGTTGGTAGTAATAGTTTTTTCTGCAGTTCTAATTATCCTCTGAAGTCTGTATCTGTCTTGTTAGGTTTTTGGTCTTCCAAAATATATACAGTATGGGTCTTCCAGGATATTCTTATCAGTCAACTTAACTGTATTTACAAGTTTCTTAACCACTAGACCAAACTGGCTTTCATTTGGTGTCCTGAAAGTACTTGCATTATAATATGTGAAGAAAGCAATTTTATCAGTTTCATTGTTTTTTTAAATAAACTTTATTGACTTTTTTAAAGAAAAAAAAATTTTTTTTAAAGAAAACGTCCAATCACTGTTAACATCTGAGGTGTTGTATAGTTACATATTTGTGTTATATACATTATATACATATCTATTACATTCGAATCTGCGATTATTGAACATATACATATTCTTACAATCCCATTCTAGTATTCCACCATTTATACCACCTTTCCCATACTGCCTTGAATTTTGAATTCATATCATCATTAAGAACACTTGTTAATTTTACCATTTCTGCACATTCTAGAATTTTGTTTATTATTGCCACCTCTGGAGGGGTTTGTTTATCTTTCCAGTATTTTGCAAAAATTAACCTGGCTGCTTTATCAGTTTCATTGTTGAAGTGTCGCTGTGGGCCAGTGTTTTCTACATCCACAATTATGTCCACATATTTTCCAACATCTCAAGGACAGAAAAACAACACATTCATGTGGCTATAGAAGAGCCTATTGATAGTTGATAAGTCCCATACTAAATGGATGGTAATGAACTCAACAAAGAGGTTGGGAGACAGAATCTGTGAGGGCAATCCCTCAATTATGTGTAGCTGGAAAGCAGAAGATAGCGGGTTACATTTTGACTTAGTTGAAAACTCCAACTGCTTTTCAAAGTAGCTTTTCAAACATGATTAGAGCAGCATTGGGAAAGGTTTTGAAAATTTGGATATAAAATCATGTTCCTTTTATTGTCCTAATTTGCAGGCCCTTGCAATTTGCCCTTTAGAAGGAGGTGGCCAAGGAACTGCAGCAATTCTCCTGCTAAGTGCTTTGCGCCCAGAATTCTACAAGGCTATGGGTGAACATTGGTGGGTCGAAGTGCCCCTCCTGGCCCATTACCTGGAAGGTGAGACGAATGAAACCAAAGAGACCTTGTCATCTGCAATTTTCTGTATTCTTCTAACATATTTAGTTAATGTGTGGAGAATTTTAACCAGACAATGGGACTGCATACCAAATTATAATCCATACTCTTCCTGACTTGCAAATGTTCGATGGGGAGATTTGAAGGATAAATTTGTTTAGTTTGCTTTGAACATGTGTATAGCTGCCCATATGGTCCAGGTCCAGGACTCTACAAAAACAGGATCCTGGATCGTATAAAAAACATTCAAGCAAACATAAGTACTGTATACAGTTCTCTATCCAGTTGAAAATCATTCCTGCATTTAGGCAAATACTGTACCCGACCAAAGTATATACAGGTAGCCCTTGACTTATGACAATAATTGAGCCAAAATTTATGATGCTAAGCCAGACATTTGTTAAGTGAATTTTGCCCCATTTTATTACCTTTCTTGCCATAATTGTTAAGCGAATCCCTGTAGTTGTTAAGTTGGTTACACGGGTGTTAAGTGAATGACTTCCCCATTGATTTTGCATGTCAGAAGGTTGCTTTTCTAAGGTTGAATGGGTTGTCTAAGTCTAAATTTCCAACTACCACAAATAAAACAATTGACAATTAACCTTAGTTCTAAATTTTAATACAGTAGGTACTAAACAAGTGTTTCTCAACCTTAGCCATTTTACGATGTGTGGACTTCAAGTTCCAGAATATCTCAGCCAACAATGCTGGCTGGGGAATTCTGGGAGCTGAAGTCACATCTTAAAATGGCTAAGGTTGAGAAACACTGTGCTAAACAAGAATGGGGGTTACTTCAGGTTCAGATAATTCAATTAGCCAGAGTTAAGCCTAACTGGTTAAAGCGATATATGGGTTGGAAAGTAAGATTCCAACACCTGTCCTGTGCCATCAATTATAAGCACAGGATGTCAGACATAAGCATAGATAGTTATCTATGGCAGCTGTAAATCTTTCCACAATGCAGGAATGTGAGAGCTCAAGAAAAAAAAAGTTTATTACTGAAGCCAAGGTTCCATGCCAACAAGCCCAATATTGAGAAATCAAAGTGATTTTGGTCTTGTATCTGTCCAAACATCCTTAGAGATGTCAGGAAAAAACCCTACAATGTTAGGCTCATCCAACCATCCAGACTTCAAGGATTTACTGAACACCAATATGTTTGGAATTCATGAAAGTGATTGCTTTTTAATCTGTAGTTGGCATGATTCATTTCAATAGTTTAGTTAGGTGTCCATGATCTTGTCCTCATATTTTTATGGAAATTTCTCTCATTTCCAAAGGGCTTTAAAAAGAACCATCTCTCCTCCTGATTCCCTGGGTAATGTTGGTCTCCTATGCTCTCCCCAAAGGCCACAGCAAGTACACATTGCCACCAGCAGCCTGGGAGCAGAAGCTACTGGAGGTAACCCCAGTGATGGGAGCATGAACGTTTCCCATGGCACTGACGACCCTCTCTAATGGCCTCCATTCTCCTGATGCCTCCACAGTTCCTGAAGAAATCCTTACAGAGGAACCAGGAAGAAGGCTGGAACCTAATCTTGGGGCAGGAACTCATGAAGCAGATGGGTGTCTATCACAACTCCTCTAAAGAAAAAGTCAGTGTGATAAAGAATATTGGTGATGTCCTTCATAAAAAGGCTAACCAGTTCCACCTCGTAACTCATACACTAATACGTACCATGTCAGCCTTCCCCAGCCTAGAGAGCCTTCAAACGTATAGATTTCACCTACAGTAAATCCAGTAAATCAGCTAGTAACAGAGGTTGTGGGTTAGCCCTCCCACCTGCCCAGTGGTGGGTTTCAAAATGTTTTACTACCGGTTCTGTGGGTGTTGCTTGGTGGGCGTGGCATGGCTTGGTGGATGTTGCTTGGTGGGCGTGGCAGGGGAAGGATACTGCAAAATCTCCATTCCCACCCCACTCCAGGGAAAGGTTACTGCAAAATCCCCATTTCCTCCCGATCAGCTGGGACTTGGGAGGCAGAGAATAGATGGGGCCGGGGCCAGTCAGAATTTTTACTACCAGTTCTCCGAACTATTCAAAATTTCTGCTACCGGTTCTCCAGAACTGGTCAGAACCTGCTGAAACCCACCTCTGCACCTTCCCCGGCGCTATGCCACCCTATTTAGCCACGTTTTCCAGGCCGGGCGCATGCGCGGAAGGCACATGTGCAAGCAAAGCACATGCATGGAAGGCCGAGCGCATGCATGGAAGGTACGAGTGTACACAAAGCGAGTGTGTGCGCGTGAGGCAAGCCAGTAGTAACAATATCTGAAACCCACTGCTGAGTAAATCTTCCACTATTGTGACCATTGTTGAGAATTCTGAAAATTAAAGCCTACAGTACACATGGGATATTGGTTCTGGATGGTCTGGGTTTCTTTAGGCCATGTTTAAAGAACCTCCAGCTGTTTCATTTCTCTCCTCCAGGTCTTTCTCTACAAGACTTTGGGAATTGCTCTTTCTGCTACAGGGGATGTTGGTGGGGTGACCCAGCAGCTCCTGAATCTGCTCTTGCATACAGATTATACTGAGGAAGCCCAGCAAAAGGCAAGAACCACAGTCTGCTCCAAACTAATGAGAATTCTAGATTTCTTCTCTTTTATAATGTTGTCTGCCTTGCTCATACGGTACATGATGATGGTGCTATTTGGTAATCCTAATCCTCTTTCTGACACTGTGTTCTGATGTTTTGGGAATAACTTTGTTTTTTAAGTATGGCTTTACTGGAATTATATAGGATTCCGCTCTCTATATTCCGTTTGATATTATTGGAAGAATATACCTGTTCAAAAGAGGTTATTGTTGTAAATCAGGCAATGTTCTCTTTTTGCTCTATTCTGTGTTTTATTTTGTCACTGGACTCTGCTTCAGTAGAAGGCTTGTTCTCTCATGCTGGAGAGAAGAGGACACACTTTCAACTATTATTAAATCAGAGAAAAGCATCAGAGTAGAACACAGGTCACATTTGCTGTTAATTTTAAAAACGTCTTTGATTTTTTTTTTCTATGATGGCAGGGCCTGTAACTGAATGATCCACTTAGCTCAGTTTCTCTAGGAGTGAGAAAACGGGGTTAAAAAGATCCTAAGTGGGGAAACTGGATTTGGCAGAGAAGCTCTTCTGTTTTCTGGCTACCGCTTCCTTCTCTTGTCCTCAGGGTGTTCGCTGGTGTCTGGCATACTGTGCAGAGGGGCAGCTGGTGGCGGTGCTGGAAGCTCTACATCACTTTGAGAAAGAGATTTCTGAGGGAAAAGATTTGGCTTGCTTTCAGATTGGCCAGGTTTGGAGATTTTACTACTTCATACTATCTTCTTGGTCTTCTTGACTAGCAACTGGGAAAGCTGGCCATATGAGAACATAGGTAAAGGTAAAGGTTCCCCTCGCACATATCTGCTAGTCATTCCCGACTCTAGGGGACGGTGCTCAGTGGTGGGTTGCCCCGGTTCGGACTGGTTCTCAAGAACCAGTAGTAAAATTGGCGGGAGGCTCTGCCCACTGAACCGGACGTCATCAAAATAGAGCTGCGTATGCACGGGCACGATGCAAACCGGTAGTAAAGGTAAGTAAACCCACCCCTGGCAGTGCTCATCTCCGTTTCAAAGCCGAAGAGCCAGCACTATCTGAAGACACCTCTGTGGTCATGTAGCCTGCATGACTAAAAGCCAAAGACGCACGGAACGCAGTTACCTTCCCACCAAAGGTGGTCCCTATTTTTCTACTTGCATTTTTTACGAGCTTTCGAACTGCTAGGTTGGCAGAAGCTGAGACAAGTAACGGGAGCTCACCCCTTACGTGGCACTAGAGATTCGAACCGCTGAACTGACGACCTTTCGATTGGCAAGCTCAGCATCTTAGCCACTGAGCCACCGCGCCCCTATATGAGAACATGGTGCCCTTTTAAAAGATCACGCTTAAAGCATGTTTCAGTCAGACCTAGAGTCCAGATGATGCAACACATGTAATCGTATATGCTAGGCTCCCTTCCACAGGCATCTTCTCTATGTGTTGGCACTGCAGTTCCCAGAAGTCTTAGCTCATATGACCTTTGGCCTTTGTGTCTGTCTCTTTGGTTTGCCAGCCTAAAAAGAGAGGTACAGAAGACAACCTTCTCCAGCTTGGATTTTAATTTCTTTGAGCAGGCTTTTACAATTCTCCATTTTGTTTCTGAGTCAGACTCAGGAAAATTCTCTCGAGCATTTTCCTGAGCATGAAGCTCAAACAAACAGCACTTAGAAAAATACTTAGTGAGCAAGAAAAACCAAAATTATATCTGATAACTTGTCATATTTTCTCTGAAACAAATTTGGGACCCCAGCAGCAGAATATGACTCTGCCTTTAGAGTTGGTCTTCTTCATCATCTGTAGGCCTTGCCTCAGCCAGAGAAAGAACATGTGATGAAAACTCTCCTTCTATTATATGGTAGTGTGGCAATCCGTGTTCCCCAGGAGCAGCTAATGCCTCATTTGGCCAATGAGATTGTGCCAAGGATCCTACACCATTATATGACACTAAACAATCCAGAGGTGAGTTATTTGCCTTATTGTGCTACTGGGGTAGCAGGATTCTGCTTCATTTAACTGGCGGCATTGGATTTTGAGAGCATCCTTTTAGGGATGAAGATCAAGAAATGAGTTCTGGAATCACAAAGAGTATAAGTTACAGGCGCAGATCAGTGGTGAAATCCAAATTTTTTTACTACTGATTCTGTGGGCGTGGCTTGGTGGGCGTGGTGTGGCTTGGTGGGTGTGGCTTGGTGGGCGTGCAGGAGAAGGATACTGCAAAATCCCCATTCCCTCCCCACTCCTGGGGGAAGGATATTGCAAAATCTCCATTCCCACCCCACTCTGGGGCCAGCCAGAGGTGGTATTTGCTGGTTCTCTGAACTACTCAAAATTTCCGCTACCAGTTCTTCAAACTGCTCAAAATTTCCACTACCGGTTCTCCAGAACCTGTCAGAACCTGCTGGATTTCACCCCTGGTTTACATGCCACCCAACCCAAAAGTTGAATGGATGTTTGTAATAAGATATCCACCCGCTGGCTATCTTATTGCTTTAGGTCATTATACAAGTCAAAAAAGGCAGTCCCTAAAAGGTATAACATCATTTCAACTATGAAAAAATCCTGGTTGATCGGTAGAATATATTTTACGGTCCTAGCTTTTGGAAGCGCTGATGGTGTTGTTCAGAGGGTCTTCAGAATTTCCCCACAGGACTGATATGGGTGATTGATGCCCTGCAAATTAAATCACTATTTATAAACAAGACTGTCAGTTATCTCTTACTCAGGAAGAGTAGCCCTTTGGTTATTCAGTGCTTCCTTCCTGTTCTTTAATCCAAGTTCCTCTTGGAGTCAGCCTCCACCATCCTTTTCCCATTTCCATTCAGAGGGCCATTGATGTTGAGCTGGTTCTGAGTTTTGCCCAGTGCGTGTCAGAAATCAGCCTTTCCATGAAGAGCAAAGGTGATTCCACTACTTTCCAGCTGCCTCAAAAAAGAGCGTTGCTTGACCTTCTCATGGTGAGTACAATTTGTTTATTTTATTTAACATACTTGACTTGATGCTTGCAAAAGATCCCCTAAAGGGATTTCTTATACCTGGTCTCAGGGAAAATTAACTGTAAAAAATTGGAAGGATCTCATAAATCTACCATGTGATTTTTGTTCTGGCTGTGGCTCTTGCTGGAAGGGACGTTAAAGACATGAGCATTTTCACTTACTGGCTTTTCCTTCTCCTTCTCCTTCCTTGTAGAGAGTGGCTACTTTGAAGATTTTGTCTTCCAAGCTTTCGGACTCGTACTAGGGATGGTCCTGAAAGCTCGGAAGACAAAATCTCTGATCCTGGTGACCGACCCAGATTGGATCCTGCAAAGTTGCCTTTTCCTCAAATGAATTCTTCCATGCCAAGGACCACCCTTGGCAATTGACTGGCATGTGAACTGAGCTGATGTGGTCGAGTTATAGATGCAACGTTTATTATTTATTATTAATTATTCCAAATTTTATCAGGGCTTAACTTTCATGTTAATGTTCTTTTCTCTAATCATATCGAGGTTTTATTCTTACACTCCACCCTGAGTTCCTTATGGTTAGACAGGTGGCCATATACCATATATGTAAATTGGATGGATGGATGGATGGATGGATGGATGGATGGATGGATGGAAGGAAGGAAGGAAGGAAGGAAGGAAGGAAGGAAGGAAGGAAGGAAGGATGGATGGAAGGAAGGAAGGATGGATGGAAGGAAGGATGGATGGAAGGAAGGAAGCCAGGACAAAATTTATGTTTGAATTCATAAATTTACATGTCATTAAAATTAAATATAGCCCTATCTATATATTTAAAGTAACCCAATTACTTTAAAAATGACTATATGGTGACATCTTTGGAATGTTTCTGAGGTGGTATTATGGCCTAAAACCCCAACTGCTTATTCTGGAATGTTCCTTACTGAGGAATGCTGCTTGGGAACTCAACAGAAGGATCCCAATCTAAACCATGCCCAATGTATTTCCTTCCTATACTGTTTGCCACAGAATACTGTTAAAACAGAGTCCCTGGAGGTGCTTGTAACTCCTGTCTGTCAGCAGGTGATGGTTGCTCTTCGGCACCTGAGGCAAGTACTCATTGCTATGCCGTTCCTTTTAAGATCAGCCCTACATGGATAGTCAGAGCACAAATAAAGAGTGAGGAACCAGATTGCATAGTCTACCTTTAGTTCTGGCACACAAAATGCCTTAAAGCATGTATAGATGCCAAATCCTCACCTCCAGTTAATGAGAAGTCCTCACTGATTGGGTTTGGACAACATGTGAAACTAAATCACTGAATTAACACAATACATTGAATCTTTAGCTTACCAAACCTAGCCAAGTTTACCATGATCCAGGTTTTTGATATTTTGTGATTCAGCTAGTAGACCTTTAACTGAGTTGTAAAAGGAGCTGTTATCCAAGAAGCTGTTATGCAGAATACAAAGGAAGGGACATTACCTCCCTCTGCCACTCCCCAAGTCAGAAATTAATCTCTGGAACTCGGCATTTATTTGATTTCTGTCCATTTGATGGCTGATAAGTATGTAAATAAGGAGATGCTATCAAGAAACCCTTTGCTTTTTGGATATCATATACTGAAGATGTCCTAAATGTGGGCATTCACAATAAGGAGGCCCTTACTGACCATAACTGGCATCAGTTGGGGAATGTGGACATATTTAGAATAAGAATAGAATAGAATAGAATAGAATAGAATAGAATAGAATAGAATAGAATAGAATAGAATAGAATAGAATAGAATAGAATAGAATAGAATAGAATAACAAAGTTGGAAGGGACCTTGGAGGTCTTCTAGTCCAACCCCCTGCTTAGGCAGAAAACCCTACACCACTTCAGACAAATGGTTATCCAACATCTTCTTAAAAATTTCCAGTGTTGCAGCATTCACAACTTCTGGAAGCAAGTTGTTCCACTGATTAATTGTTCTAACTGTCAGGAAATTTCTCCTTAGTTCTAAGTTGCTTCTCTCCTTGATTAGTTTCCACCCATTGCTTCTTGTTCTACCCTCAGGTGCTTTGGAGAATAGCTTGACTCTCTCTTCTTTGGATATTGGAACACTGCTATCATGTCTCCCCTAGTCCTTCTTTTCATTAAACTAGACATACCCAGTTCCTGCAACCGTTCTTCATAGGTTTTAGCCTCCAGTCCCCTAATCATCTTTGTTGCTCTTCTCTGCACTCATTCTAGAATCTCAACATCTTTTTTTATGAACTCAACCTTTTTCAACATTTTTATCAACATTTTTTCATATGAACTAGTACATAAGAGTTTTTGATTGTTCTGACTTTGGAACCTCTGCTGAGATGTTGATACAGTAAAAAAAAAAGGAAAGGAAAGTGACTGGATCATATAATGGGCCCCAGTGAGGTTCTGTTTTATTTGCTTCAGGAACTGGGAAGGCCAAGAAACTGCTTTTTAAACAGAGTATTATTGTTTCCTCAGCAAGGTGCCAGAAATGCTGAGCCCTGAGGAGAACTGGAAGCTGGCAGAGGCCTGTCTGAGCCATGTCTTTGCTCTTCCTCCTTTGGGGATTGAAGAAGGTGCCAGTCAGGTAAGTAGTTGTGTGCTGTAGGAGAGGTCTTTGAAATCCCCTGCTTTTTCTATACTAATAAGTGCTATTTTCTTCTGCATTTCAGACTCTCTATACTGGTACTTTGACTTCCTTGTCAGAGCTGATGGAGACTTTACTGGAGCCAGGATCAGGAGAGAATGACTTTTCAGACTGGTTCCAGCAGATCTTCCAGGTGAATTGGACAAAAGAACTTCATGTTGATTTAAATAACACAGTCTATGATTTTATAGTGTCATCAAGAATAGCAGTCATTTAGGCCTCCATTAATTTATCTAGTCCGCTTTTAAAACTATTTAAAGCTGTAGAAAGTTAGCACCGACCCCTCTCCTAGAAGAATGACATATTTTAGGAAGTATTTAAAAAGGCGGAATATTATATTTCCCCTAAAAGAGAAAGAGAAATCTTAAGGGAGACAGAAACTCTGAGCTTCAGCTCCCTGCTCCCAGCAGATATTTGGTGCCCATTGAGAAGGACTGGGCCAGCCTATCTACAGAACGAAAGACCTTCAGGTCCGGGGTGATGGGATTAAGACATGACCCTCCAGGACATAATAGGATTAATCCATCTAGCAGCAATTACATCAGCCCAGGCTCCAACCAAACTTGATTCAGACAAACATGACCCCACATGGACCAATGGGAGTCTGACTACAGCCAATAGAATACATTTATTGCACAGGAAGAGGAAGCTCAAGGGCAAGGCCCAAGAGAGGGTATAAAAATCCCTCACTCTCTACTCCATGTGGTCAGCTGCCCGGGACCTCAAACCCACGTGGTCCTGTTCATCAATAAACCATCTTTCCAATCAGCCTCTATGTTTCCAGTGTCTTTTTCCCCATTTGGAACTGAACGATATTTCTTCCAACAAAGCTATACGACAGCAAATTCTATACATTATCTACCACTTTTTATTGGTACAAACTCTCATTGCATTTAATTTCAGTGAATAACCCTAGATTCTAATGGTGGATGATAACATAGCCTTCCATCTTCCCCACAGCTCTTGGGCTACTGGCTGGTGTCGGAGCATGAATGGGAGCGGGCTCGGGCTATGCAGCTTGGTGTCCATCTACTGAAAGCTCATTGCCAGAGGACTAGCACTTCTGTAAGTATGGCCCAGCATCTGCCAAGTGAAGCCTGGCCCAGGGGGTATGTACAGTGGTGAAATCTAAAATTTGTTACCACTGGTTCTTGGGCATGGCTTGGGGGGGGGTGTAATGTGACTGGGTGGGCGTGGCCAATTTTTTTTTTTTTACTTTTAAAACCATTTTTTCTACAACCTCTTCGGTGAAGAGGTTGTAAAAAATGCTTTCAAAAGGCTCTGATAATCCCTTTTTTTCTTTTAAATGCCTCTGACGATCAGGCAACTCAGCTTGGATCGTCAGAGGCATTTAAAAGAAAAAAAGCCTCTGCCTATCAGGCAACTCAGCTGGGATCGTCAGAGCCTTTTAAAAGCATTTTTTCTACAACCTCTGAAGAGGTTGTAGAAAAAATGCTTTTAAAAGCCTTTGAGGATCCCAGTTGAGCTACGCGATCATCACAGGCTTTTTTTTTTACTTTTAAAAGCATTTTTTCAGCCAAAGGGGTTGTAGAAAAAATGCTTTTAAAAGTTAAAAAAAAAAAGCCTCTGATGATTGTGCGGCTCAGCTGGGTATGGGGTGGGCGGGCAGGGATTTTTGCTACCGGTTCTCTGAACCATCCGCCTCCATCGCTACTGGATCAGCGATCCGGTCCGAACTGGGAGCATTTCACCCCTGGGTATGTATTCTTGTATGTTGGGGGAAACATCTCCATGAAGATTGGTCCAAGTTTCACAAAAGTAGCTTTTTGGAATTGTTACTTCCAGCAAACTGGCTTATTCTGTAAGATTAACCAAAGTTTAGCAACCCCATTGCCTTTTTAAAAAATAATCTTTCACAGATCTCTCAGAACCAGTTCAGCCACTTGATGGCCCTGTTGGGTCCTTTCACTTATGACACACTGGGCACCATTCGTCATAGTGCTGGTAATTGCATTCGACTCCTGCTAAACATCCAAGGTGAGTTTAACAATGGAAGATCGGGGGTTGGACTAGATGACCTATAAGGTCCCTTCCAACTCTATCAATCTGAGCTCTGCATGTGTAAATTTACATAGGATTGCAGCCTCAATGAACGAACCATTTAGCCATCTCAAGCCACTAGACCGTTGAATTCTGTTTAGGGCCCATGTTTGAAATAGTCCTTGGGCTACATCCCATTTGTTCAGCAACCATTCAAAGTTACAAAGTTGTTGAAAAATTGAACTTACAACTGGTTCTCACACTTGCAACATCTCCATGGTGATATGATGAATATTTGGGTGCTTGAGTGACCAGCTCACATTTGCTATAATCGCAGCTTCCAGTCATTCATTTCCAATCCTTCTGCCAAAAGGATTTCTAAGTTCCCGCGGGGTGGTGGGATGGCAGGTCTTTTCATCTCAGCCCTGCTGTTCAGGGTGGCCAAAAGAGCAGAGATAGCAATAGCAATAGCACTTAGACCTATATACCGCTTCATAGTGTTTTACAACCTTCTCTAAGCGAGTTACAGAGTCAGCATATTGCCCTCAATGATCTGGATCCTCATTTTACCAACCTCAGAAGGATGGAAGCCTGAGTCAACCTTGAGCTGGTGAGGATCGAACTACCGGCAGTGGGTAGAGTTAGCCTGCAATGCTGCATTCTAACCACTGTGCCACCACAGCTCTTGGAGAGGGATAAGGTAGATAGGCAAGAGGGGAAAATTGAAGCAGAGGCAATTTGTGGAGGGCAGGAGAAGCATGAGGTCGTTACCTAATAACCGCAACTGAGACTGCTGGGACTGCCATCGCTAAGTGAAGTGGTCATATGATGTTTTGCTTGACATCTGCTTCTCTTAGCAATGGAAATGCTGGTTCATTGCTTCATTATCCTTCCCCTGATTGTAGGAGGATACATTTTCAAATATTGTTACATCCTTGCTATACTACTAAAACTTACTGAGAAATATTTTCTAGCTACAACATGGAATAATAGAGCATAGTATTCAGCCAACGCCTTCTTTATTTCTTTAGGAGCCACAAAGTTGCGTGAGCCCAAAGTGCGTGTCAACCAACAGCGATTGTATTGCATTCAAAGGGACCTTCAAAGTGAGAGTACAGAGACGATGCACACTGCCTCTCTCCAGTTGGCCAAAGTACTAAAAAAATGGACAGCTTCTTGTGTGTGACTGCATATTGTGTGCATGAATATCTACAGATGTTTGAACAACTGCCACAGTGGCCATTGCTGAGGATTCTGGGGACTGACTTTCACACACTGGGACATCGTAGAGCAGGAGTCCCCAACCTTGAGGCTGCAGCCCACTACTGGGCCACAGCCTGTTCGAAACCGGGCCATGGAGAAACAGGCAAGCGCATGCACGTGAAGCTCCAGTCACATGAGTGGAGGTTGCTTGGGTTCGCGCGCAAAGCTCCACTTTCGCAAGCAAAGGGCACTTGCGTTTGTACGCGAAGCCCCACTTGCGTGAGCGGAGGGCACTCACACGAGTGTAGCTTTGCACATGGGCACAAGCACCATCCACTCGTGCCCTCTGCTCTCACACAAGTGGAGCTTCGTGCACAAATGTAAGCACCCTCCACCTGTGTGTAAAGCTCCATTTGAGTGAGTGGAGGGCATGCGTGTACATCGTTCACACAAATGGAGCTGTGCATGCGCATGCCTGCCACTCACACACAGACACACATGTGCCAGGCTGGGCCACCAAGCTGGAAAGGTTGTGGACCACTGTTGTAGAGGACAATTCACGGCATCTTTCTCTGACTCTTAAAGAGAGTTGTCAGTTTATAGCAAGGGACCTGATCAGTGGTGGTTTTCTACCGGTTTGCCCCAGTTCGGGTGAATCGGTAGTGGCAGCGGCGGGAAGCTCCACCCACCCACCCGGATATCATCACGGACGCTCTGTGCATGCGCAGGAGATTCTGCGCATGCACGCAGTCCTGGTTCCGAACCGGTAGCGAAGGTAAGTGGAACCCACTACTGGACCTGATATACCATACACATACAGTATATGTTGCTGCTGATAGAATTAGTATAGATTAAGAAACTGAAAATACCAGTTTTTCATCAAGTTTCCTAGGTAGTCTTCCCATTTGGAAGGTAGCACCTTCCAAATGTGTCAACTCATCTCCCAGAATTTTCAGCTGATGCCATGCGGGCTGGAAATTCTGGAAGTTCAGTTAACATAACTGGGGGGCACCCAAGTTGGAGAAGGCTGCTCTCAGAACTTCAACAAAGCATGAGAACAAAAATGTACGTACAGTCAAAATAAAATGAAATTTTCATCCTGGCCCACACAGATAATACAATTTTGCTTGTTTTGTTTTGTTGTCCCACCTAGTGTTGAAACGTTGCCAAAACCTTGTTCAAAAATAGGCATCTGTCTTGGAGAAAATAAACCCAGAAAATTGGTAATTTTTTAAAGAAGAGTCAGATCACTTATAGCTTAGTTGGATACACAGTGTAAAACGAGAATCTCCCACTGCAGTGATATGGGAGAATGACCTTGGGAGACGGGAGGAAAAGCCACAAACCAGACAACCATTGTAAAAGATATCTCAGTACCCAGGAGAGGGGTGAGATAAGCACTTCATAAGGGACCTTCCCTAGTTTTCCAAAGAAGAGGGGGGAAATACTTTCAGTCTTGCATCTGTCTGTTAATACAGCCTTAAAATGAAGATGGAGTTCGTACTTGTAATTGGGTTGGGTTTGTCTGGGCTACCTTGAAGAGCTAACAGATCCAAACTAAATCATGTGAGGTAGAAGAGATCTTTTGAGATCCTGGAGAGCTGTTGATGTATTAGAGAGAAAAATGTTCTGCCCATGCTTGGTCTGAGTTCATACCGTATGCTCGAAAAAGGATGAAGTGATGTTGCTCTGACTTAAGATGAAGGTCCTTTGAACTTTCTGTCCTTACTTTCTCTTTCAGATTGTCAGCTGTGTCCTGCCTCTCCAAGGAATCCTAACCTTCTTGCACACTTTGCTGGAGCAACTGAGGACTGTGAATGGTTCCTGCGACAAGGCTGCCCTCCTGTGGTTTGAGGTGGCTGTGAAGGAACGGCGGCCAGATCTAAAAGACAAGGTAAAGCCTAAATCTGATCTTGTTCGAATCAGTGGTGGGTTCCTCCTGGTTCGGCCCGGTTCTCCCGAGCCGGTAGTGGTGACAATATGACAACTGGATGGACGCAGGTTATCCATCCCTTGATTAGATGATGGTTGGCAACAATTGGCCGGCAAGGAAATTTTTTACTCCTACCCTGCTGTGTATTTCTTAAGGCTGATAAAAAATGACGTTCTTATCTCATTCAAATTCTAAAAGTATGGCTAAAATAAGAACTTGACACTTTTTATGAAAGCAGGAAAGTGGGGTCTGAGTGTATCTCCAAGGGGTGCATTGCACAGCAGAACTTGAAAAGTGAGGTCCTTTAAAAGAGCTTCTGCTGCGAACTTTGTACATGCAAACAGGTTCAAATTGAGGCAGGTACTCCTTCAAGGGGTCAGGATCCAATTTCTGGTACATCTAAAGAGTAGCCGAATGAAAGTTACATTTTTGTTGTCAATTCATGATGTGCCTGCTTCCAAATTTGACTGGCTTAGATATCTATGGAGATTCTCAGTCATCCCCGTCATGGTTGCCCCAAAGGTGCTTTTTCAAAAGGCAACTGGAGTTTGGTTTTCCTTGAAGACATTTCTCTTCTCATCCAAGAAGCTTCTTCAGTTCTTCAGAACTAAAGAAGCTTCTTGGAGGAGAAGTGAAACATCTTCAAGGGGAAAAAAATCCAGTTGCCTTTTGAAAAAGCGCCTTTAGGACAACTGGCTTTGATTTAGTCACAGGATGTCTATGAGATGAACTTTTCAGCACTTCTCACCCTGATTGCCGTCTGGGACTCCAGAAGCATCTGTAGATCAAGGGGCACTCCTAGCCTGAAGACTTCCAGTAGCAGCTGTTTCCTACCAACCAAAAATACCTCCATCTTATCTGGATTTAATTTAAACTTTGCTACCAAGTCGAAATCTTTGCAGGTTAACTCCTGAAAGATTAAGATTTTAGCATCTTTCTAAAACTGAGAGTTGCGAGTGAATTTGCAGTATTTTATAGACCTTCCTCAGAAAGAATAAAACTTACATAATTTGTTTTAGGCTCACATTTGTCTAAATACATTCCAGTCGTGAAGAAAAGCTGCAGATATAATTAATTTCCTTGGTGATGATGGCTTCTCCTTTTTTCAGGTTCACAATATCGTAGACATCATTTGTTCCTTTTGGCAATATTCCGAAGACTCAGCTCAGCGCCACTTCCTGGCTCAGGCCATCTGCATTTTGGCTGAGCATCATCGCAAAGCAGTTTGTTTCTCTCTCCTGGAGCAACCCCTGCTTCAAGACAAGTGAGTGGTGAGCACAGGGCTGGCCTTAATCATTATGAGCCGTGTTGACGCAGTGGTTAGAGTGCAGTACTACAGGCTACTTTTGCTGACTGCTGGCTGACTGCAATTTGGCAGTTTGAATCTCACCAGGCTCAAGGTTGACTCAGCCTTCCATCCTTCCGAGGTGGGTAAAATGAGGACCCAAATTGTTGAGGGCAATATGCTGACTCTGTAAACCGCTTAGAGAGGGCTGTTAAAGCACTGTAAAGTGGTATATAAGCCTAACTGCTATTGCTATTAGGCAGAAAGGTATGGAGCAGCAGCATTTATATTCCACATATTTTATGTGATGACCCAGGGCATGGCATGAAAGCAACACAACCAGAGAACAGGTCTAACTCCCCTTTATTGCTCCAACTGTGCCCCCAAACGTTCCCACATTCACTACAAGTCCTGGAGCAAAGCTCTCACACACACCTTCAGAAGCCTCTGGCTGCAAGTAGTCCAGTAAACCAGGTTAATCAAACAGCAACCACAGCCAGCAGTCCAATAAGCCAGGTTAGCTAAACAGTAACCAGAGCAAGAAGTTCAGCGAAGCAGGTAAACTGGCAAGCCCCACAAGACAGAGTACAGTGATCGCCAGGCTTTGGCAAGTGCACATGAGACTCCACAGATTCAACACTTGTTCATGACAAATGCCTCTCCCACCAGCACCTCCTTACATCTCAGTCCCCAGGTGTGCCTTGTTAAAAGGGGCGGGGCACTCTCCTCCCTCGTAGCCAGCTCAGTCTGCATTGATCTCACCATCTCTCTTCCCTCCTTGCTCCCGGCCTCTCCATCTCTGTCATTCCTCTTCCAGCTCATCTTCCTCTGCAGATTCAGACTCCGAAGGGGACATGATATTTATGTTTCATACAAAAATGAAGCAGTAGTAAAGGTCTCAAATATGGATAGAGACTGACTCTTTCCATCCATCCATCCATTGGATGGATTCACATACCATGCTAAACCTTCATCCTGGGTTAAGAAAACAGTTCATATATACACACATACACATTCCAGATATATATATATGGAACTTAAAATATATTATCCACTTAGCTTTTGTTAGCCTCTGCTAACATTGTCAGAGTGTAAAAACCACCATTGAAGAGATATTCGCCTTTATGCATCATTGATCAATTTGGCCATTGCGCGTGAGATAGGCCCATCCACCCACCACCCACTTATAATTAGCTCTGTCGCTTTTACTTCAGACATGTTAATCAATGGAGGCTTAGCTCCTGTTTCTTCCTCCCCTATTCCGCACCGCTTGGGCTGCCTATCCCCAGGGAATGATGCTGAGCTGTCAGATATTGCTTTAACTGCATTATTTTTCATCTCTAGAGTAAAGAGAGAACTCTGGGCATCGCTTGCAACCTATAAAAATAGTGGTCCTTCTGTTCTGAAGTGTTTGCTCATCTGGATGAGAATGGAAAGAAATGATACCCGCAGCTGCCTTTGGGTGAGACCTCTGGACTCGGGACTGAGGGACAATCAGTATATCCAAGGTGGGAAGGCTGATTTTTTGTGGATGGCTGGGAAATAGGTAAAGTGACCGGACAACTCATTTCCTAACAAGTTGGGAGAATTGCCTTGTCAGAGAGCTGTTGCTAGTCAAGGTCAACAAGAGTGGGGTGGATGGACCAACAATAGACCCAAGACAAATACAATTCAGATGTTCCATTGTATCTCTGTCCTTTTCAGGGTCTTGAGGCTCTCCATGAGGTAGTCTTGGCTTTGGATGGTTGTGCCACCTTCTTTCCATTACTGACAGAGCTGTGCTACATTCTTCTGCAGCAGCTCAGCAAACATCAGGATGATAAGATGCCAACGTTCTCTTTTTCTCCTCTAGAAAGCAACGGGAGTCTTGAGACAGAATTCATGACATCCCATGGGTAACATTGTGCCTTTCCTAAAAGTGGACGATTCCTTCGAAACCTCTCTCTTTTATGTTTCTGGCACTTCTTCCCCTTAATATTTGTTTGCCAGGAATGTTTCACTGCCTGCAATCTGATTGTTGCCCAGATGTTGAAGATTTGTGCGGCATTGTCCAGCAGCCATCAATTGGATAGCAATCTGTTGCCTGGGGAAGAGATCTCTTGACAATCATCTGGGGGAAATGGCTTCATGGTTTTCTTCTAGCAATAATTAAGCTGCTTGGCTGGGTTTCCATTTAATTATTAATTTATTATGGTATCAGTGATAGTGATAGTGGCAGGGGTCTTTGGGTTGGGGGATAATGTGTGCCATCTCTTAAATCCTGACATCTCTTTAAAAAGCAAGGATCCATAGGAGGGACCAGGATCTCTCTCAACAGTTGACTGTCTAGTGGAAAGGCCTGTCCTCTCCTCTGATCTGCCATAGGGTGATGATGGTTGGTGGGTCTTTTCATTAAGCCATTATAGCTTTAAGCATTTGCTATTCATTCGAGTTGGGTGAATGCTCCCTCTTTTTATTTCTGCCTAACTGCTGCCATTTTCAATATAATTTGTAAAGCTGGAACATAAAATGCAGACTTGGAATGGCACTTCCAAATGGGGCTCCAATCTGTTGAAGAATTGTGGTAAGCCTGCTCTGATTAAATGATGCTGCAGCCAGGGCCTTGTAGATGCTCTCTGTTCCTTTTACTCAGGCCATTAAGGAAACAGCAGGAGCAGGAACAAAAATCATTTCCCTAACACTGGTTTGCAATTCTTGTTTCAAAGAGGGAAAATCTATGCTTTAGGGTGAAGAATCCAACTTGCCCCTAGCATGCTGGCATACAAAGGAGCCCTGATGCAGAGCTTTTGGCATATCACCATCAGTAATATGTGATAAGCACAGAAATACCACAATTTATATCTTTTTAAGAAGTGGAATGGGTATGTTTAGCTGGGAACCAGAGGGAAGAGGGCAAGGCTATCTAGCAGCAGAGCTGTGGTTGGCAGTTGGAATCTTGTTTATGGTGATTCTCAGTCATTCAGGTCATGGTTTCCCAAAAAGTGCTTTTTCAAGAGGGAACTGAACTTCCTTATTTTTCTTAGAAGATGTTTCGTTTCTCATTCAAGAAGCTTCTTCTGACTGAATGATGGGGAATAGAAGGATTTATATTCCTTGCAGACAGTTGGTCATTTGCATTATTTTAGAGCGTTGTTGAGGCCACTTGGAGGTTTATTTGTGTCCTCAGGGTCACCTGAGTTGTGTAAATGAGTGCGGAGCCTTTTTGGAACTGCTGAAAGGGTTCCTGTAGTTTTTCTGCAGTTTTTCTGGAAATCTCTTCATTTTCCCACACCATTCGAGGGTGTTCATCCCAAAGTACATAGCTAAATGTCTATGGAGATTCTCAGTCATCCAGGTCATGGTTGTCCCAAAGGTGCTTTTTCAAGAGGCAACTGGACTTCCTGGTTTTTCTTAGAAGATGTTTTGCTTCTCATCCAAGAGACATCTTCAACCTAGTACTGCCTTTTGCTGCAATCTATAGATCTGCTTTCCCTAACTTGAAACCTGCCAGATGTCTTGGAACTATTTTGGAACTACATTCTTAGTCAAATGGAAAAAAAATGGGTGTTTTAATCCTAGTGTCAGCACTCCAAGCTGCATTCACTCCAGTGCTGACATAAGAAGGAGGTGGAGGCATCTGGCAAGAGGACGCTTGACTTTTCACCTACTTATTTTCCCTGGAGATACTATCCCTTAGGAGATGAGTTGGGAGGGGGGAAATTCCTTTGAGCTGAAGTAGTAGATAACAGCCGAGTGACTTGGAAGATGGCCAATGAGAAGCAGCAGCGGGGAAAGGAAAGAGAGGGTTTGGACCAGGAAGTCAGTGTTGGCTGCGACTGAGTCGGAGTTTTCGATTGTTGTGCCTAATAAATGAAAGATTTCGATCAAGGACTATTTGTTTGAAATGCAGTTTATTTGAGACGACACCGAATCCTGACACCTAGCCTTTACAAAGGTTACTAAAATAGGGAAGATTACTATAAATCTATAAGATTTTCCCTTTCATTCTGCAAATGTGTTCTTTGTTTGCCCCCCACCCTGTGACTGCCTTTCAGGCTACAGGATAGTTAGGTGCCATTGAGTTGAGTTTGACTTCTGGTGACTGAGTAGATATTTACCAGCTTGATTTATTCAGATCACTATGAATAAAATTTGCAAACTTTCTGTCCCTGACGTGTCTTTTCTGTCCCTGTGGGGTCTTTTGTATTTCAGGCTAGCTGTTACAGTACTGCAGGCTGTGTTCAGCAGAGCTCTGCCAGAGATTGCAAGGGAACTGAACTCTGGAAAGACCTGGGACTTCCTGATGGACCCTAGTAGCAGCCTCAAGGGTGTGGCCCTGTTGGCCAGGTAAGGGACATATCCCTAACATTGGAAATATCCATTTTTAACTCGGCCCAGGAAAAATAATTCTGTAGATCTTTAAACCTAAGAACAAAGGTAGATGTTCTTAAATCAATATGTTCTGCAATCAAGGGCTTAGATTTGAGCTCAGCATTTTTTAATCTGACGCTGTGTGGAAATTCAACACAATTCCAGTTTTTTGTTTTTGTTTTTGCTTTGAACTAGCAAATTCACCAATGGAACTTGGAATTTGAAATACGATGAAAATGAAATTACACAGAGTAACGGCAAAGTTGGCATATTTGAACTTTAAAAGGGTGGAAGGGAGTTCAGAAAGCTTTTTGGAAGTTTTGGGGTAATCTTGAGAAAAAACAGATCCTTTGATACCAAGTTAGTCCGCACTTGATTGCTTCCTTCATCAGGGCCTTGATGCATACAAAGAACCCCTTTTTAGATGGGCTACTCCTTCATCTCCATTCTTCCCTCCAGTCCTCCAGAACAACATCTAGAAATCTTAGCCTGGTCTTCTGCATGGAGGTGAGATATTATTTCAGGTAGTACAAAGTAAAAGAACTAAGAGAAATGGCAACATAGGGCTGCGGTGTGATAGCCTTAGTCTTGTGGAGGAGGGGAACAATAAATAAGTTGTGCCATGTACAGAAATAATTAAGAAACATACCAGGAGTGGGTTCTACTTACCTTTACTACCGGTTTGCAATGGGAGCGCAGGAGCACTTCTGCGCATGCGCAGATCGTCCATTAGGACATCCGGGTGGGTGGAGCCTCCTGCCACTTTTACTACCAGTTCACAAGAACCGGACAGAGCCGGGAGCAACCCACCACTGAAACATACTGCATATATATTTTTTCTATTATTTTTCAGTGGGGAAAAAGAGGAAACAATTGAACCATCCATTTCCAATGGCCAGTTTAGAAATTCAGTAACTATAATTTCGGTATTCCAGGTTATAGGTCATCCTCTCTTGAAGAAACCAGAAACATTGAACCTTCTTTTGCATTTATTATTGACCCAAGTTCAAAATGGAAATGATCTTATGCGTATCTTGTCAATGCGAGGGCTGGGGAACATGGCAAAGGGTGCTCCCGAAGAGGTAAGCCAAAAAGTGCACAACCAAGACATCTTGTTCTAAACAAGAAGGTGAGGGAAAGGGACAACCCAGGGGTGAAATTCAACAGGTTCTGACAGGTTCTGGAGAACCAGTAGCGGAAATTTTGAGTAGTTCGGAGAACTGGCAAATACCACCTCTGGCTGGCCCCAGAGTAGGGTGGGAATGGAGATTTTTTTTTTTTTAAATTTGATTTATATGCCGCCCTTCTCCGGAGACTCAGGGCGGCTTACAGTGCGTTAAGCAATAGCCTTCATACTTTTTGTATATTTATACAAAGTCAGCTTATTGCCCCCACAAACTGGGTCCTCATTTAACCTACCTTAGAAAGGATGGAAGGCTGAGTCAACCTTGAGCCTTGGAGAGATTCGAACCAGCAGTAAATTGCAGGCAGCTGTGTTAATAACAGGGTGCTTTAAACCACTGTAGTACCAAGGCTCTTCATATTTTGCAGTATCCTTCCCCTGGAGTGGGGTGGGAATGGAGATTTTGCAGTATCCTTCCCCTGCCATGCCCACCAAGCCATGCCCACAGAACCGGTAGGGAAGAATTTTGGATTTCACCCCTGGGACAACTATACTCTAATGGAACAGGGATTTTGTGGATTGCTTTAAGTTTAATACATATAGATTTGTTGGCAGTGATTGATTGAGATGCTCTTCTCAGAGGGAGGTTGGCCAGGCAACATAATCTTTGACTGTCCTTGATTGAACTGTTTATTAAGGGGGGGGACCAAATAAAGAACAAAGAAGATGTCTGAGGAAGGAATAACCCAAGGAGAAGAGATCTCCAAAAATGTGTTTCTTTAAGATGAAAGAAAGAGGACACTACAGAGAAGGGAAGGAAGATGGACAGTAGCATACTGGACCTGTTAATGGAAAGAGAGCTTCTGCTTGTCATATTGACCTGAAATAGTCATTCCACAATCTGTTAGTTACATTTTGCTAGTAATGGAGATTAGAAACAGATTGTAGGGGATAAAAGTAGTCTAGGCGTTGACAAATACAAGAATTGTTTCACAGGCAAAGAAGTACCAGAAAGCTTTGCTGAAGCCTCTTCTCCAAGCTCTGCAGGACAGCTCCAGTCCAGAATTAGCCACTGAAAGCCTATATGCTTTATGCAAGTTAGGCAGATATCTTGGGAAATGGCCTGCAGATTGTACTTTCCAGATCGTGGTCAGCCAAGCCTGTGCACATCTCCGGCATGTAAGTTAGGCTACAGAAAGATCATTCTCCTGTCACTACTTTGGTAGAAAAGTGTTGGACCAGGTCCTCCAAAACTAGCGTTATACGGTATTTCCAACTCTCTCCAAGGAGTTTATAAGTGGAATTAGAAAGGAAGAGTCTTCCCTTTTGGTTGCTGTCCAGCAGTTAATATTTGCTTCTGAATCTGGAAATCCAAGCATTGGAGCCTTTGCCACTGAAAAATCATCTCGTCCTCCTCCTCCTCCTCTTCCTCCAATTTCACCTGAATACACTTAAACCAGCCATTATTATTACAACTTATGACAACAAATTGTCATAAATTTGCAGTCAGTTAAAGAGTATAGGAATACTTCTACTGGTACTCAGTTATGAGACTGGAATTCCAGCTTTCTTGTGGGGAGGGTTGAGGGCTTAAAGAGATTTAGAGTCAATTAAATATTTTGGATGTTATATGGAGGAAGCAGGTGGAATATGAAGGGGAAATGGAGGCAATCAAATTATAAAATTATAAATAGGAAGTATTAAGGGAGGCAATCAAACTATAAAGCAATACATATAAAGTGATAAACTATAAATGTTCAGCATAAACGTTGGGACTGTCTGGATCTTTAGCAAATTCTCCATTTCTCATAATAAACAGATATTTCCTCTCTTTTAACTCACTCTTGCCCGTGTTTTATATAAAATAAAAGGAGAAAGAGTTTGACACATACAAAGAAAAATGACATTGTGAAAACAATAGTAACATACTTATCAATGACATTTCAGAATCCCACTGAAATGTCATTGATAACAGGAAAGTAGCAAGAAGTTTGCACGAGTAGACTTGGGCGGGGGACACACGTATTCAGCGGGTCATAGGTTGTGCACCTCTGACCTTCTAACTATAGAGGAATTGCCTGGTTATACCCAACCCATCTTGGGAATGGATATTGAGTTTCCTGATGTCAAAGGAAACCTTATTTAATTATTTATGTATTTTATTTATTAGTTTGTCAAACATGTACAAGATAGCAGGTATGAATATGAACATGGACATGAACAAGGGAAATGAATACAAATAAATGGGGACAGTAGGGCAGGGAGGGTAGGCTGGTCCGCTTATGCACACCCCCTTTACGGACCTCTTAGGAATGGGGTGAGGTCCACGGTAGACAGTTTTAAGGTTGAAGCTGTGAGTTATTTCCTGAAGATGGGCTTAATTTTCCCTCTCCTTTGCAGGCAGATGATACTGTCCGTGCTGCAGCCTTTGAGTTGCTTGGTGAACTGGCCAAGACAGTTCCACTGAAGCTTTCCAAGTTTTTTACCAAGAAGGTGGGAGGTGCTTTGGCTGCCCTCCTCTTGCACTTCCATGATCCTTGCCCACATGTGGCCCAGGTTTGCTTGAAAACAATACAACCTTTCCTCTTTGAGCAGGGCACCCTGTCCCTACACAACAGGGCTTCTGTTGAGATTCCAGATTTCAATTTGCACTAGAATTGGCTGCAATGTAATACAGTTCTGGGCTGGCCGAATGCCATTCCTGGGCTAGGAGGCTCGTGTTCTGTCCCCAACCCCACGCACACACATCAACAGACGTTCAGGAATTAAAGACCAAACCAGCCGGCAAAATCCTTTTCCTTATGATAACGGAACTTGGCAACAACCTAGTGGCTGCCTGCCAAGAGTTTATTATTTACAAAGAGGAGAGATAACTTCTCCCCACTTCTGATACATCAAAGGAAAGCAGCTCAATAATTACAATCAAGTCCAGAGATAATCCAGTCTTAAAGCAAAAGTCCGGCAATGCAGAATGGCGTGGAAGCTTTCAGCTTTGTTCGTCACAAGGTTTGACTGGCCACCACGCTCCCTTTTATATCCTGTGGGGTGTGGTCCAGTGACTCAGCCTAATCTCGGGCACGCCCTTTCTTCTGTTGCGTGCGCTTATCTCTGCGATGCTGGCGTGGGTCCAGCCAAGACTCATTACCCTCATCACTGTCCATCTGTGGCTGCGTGGACGTGCTTGGCCCTGGCCCTATCTCTTGCCCTTCGGCGGACACTGAAGGCATTGCCAGAGAGGAGGGTCCTGGAGAGGGAGGCCTTGCCAACTCCTCCCCTTCACTCTCGGAGTCCTCTCCTGACGATGACACAGGCTCCGGTATCAGAGCCACAACAGCTCGGGTCTAAGTAGCAGAAGGGATGTGGTATAGTAAACTTGCCTATCTTTTCTGCTTAGGCCTGCCAAATGGCCTTTATCTCATGTGCCTCGTTCATCGGTCTGTGTGGATTCTTAAAAAGTACAAATTCAGATTTATTGCTGATGGACCTCTCAGATATACAACACTCCCACCTCATGGACAGAGTTTGTCAACAGCTGGTAAGCAGACAAATTTGAGCCAGGCAATCTCTTTTGGCATGGTCAGGCAGCTTAAACTTAAGCCTAGGTTCCGTATGGCAACCATATACAAGTATTCCTTTCCCCCACCTCTCCCAGCCGTTTTATTTATTTATTTGTTTTTTTCTTTATCCTTTTTGTTTGTTTGCTTGTTTGTTTGTTTATTATTTATTATTTATTTATTTCATCAAGCATGTAACAGATATAAGTATAAACATAATTATGAATACATGAAATGGATATGAATAAAAGGGAACGTTAGGACAGGGACGGTAGGCACGCTGGTGCACTTATGCGCGCCCCGTAAGGACCTCTTAGGAATGGGGTGAGGTCCACAGTAGATAGTCTAAGGTTGAAGTTTTGGGGGTTTGGGGAAGAAACCACAGTCAGGTAGTGCATTCCAGGCATCCGCCACTCAGTTGCTGAAGTCATATTTTCTGCAATCGATACATTTTTAATATATTTATTATTAAATACTACTGCAACGCTCTCTACATGGGGCTGCCCTTGAGGACCACTCGGAGGCTTCAGCTGGTGCAAAATGCAGCCGCGCGGGTTGTGATGGGAGAATCCCGATACTCCCATGTTACACCCCTCCTGCGCGGTTTGCATTGGCTACCGGTTGCCCTCCGGGTGAGATTCAAGGTGCTGGTGTTGACCTATAAAGCCCTACATGGCTTAGGACCAGGATATTTGGCGGACCACCTACAGCCAGCAACAACATCCCATCGCCCGGTTTGCGCCCATAGAGAGGGCCTACTCAGGGTGCCGTCAGCTAGACAGTGGCGGCTGGCGGCCCCCAGGGGTAGAGCCTTCTCGGTTGGGGCGCCCACCCTCTGGAATCAACTCCCCTTGGAGCTCCGACTAGCGCCTGACCTTCGCACCTTCCGCCGGGAATTAAAAACTTGGCTTTTCAAATCCCTTGACCTGGTTTGATGACGGGGCTTTAAGGGTTTTAATGGGTTAATTTTAAATTTTTTAGATTTTAGTCTTTATTTTTATTGTGGCTTGTGTTTTATTGTTGTGAGCCGCCCTGAGTCCATTGTGAGATAGGGCGGCATATAAGCTGAATAAAATAAATAAATAAATAAATAAATAAATAAATAAATAAATAAATAAATAAATAAATAAATAAATAAATAAATTAATTTATAATTTGATATATAAAATACAAAGAAAAAGAAAAATTTGGAAATTAAGGGAAGGAAAAGGAGAGGGGAAAAGAAGAAGGTGTGAGGTAGAAGGGGAAAAAAGAAAAAAAAAGGCGTTGACTTCCAAGTCTTTTTAGCACAGTACAAGATAAAAACACTCCAGCCTCAACTTTTTGCTTTTACACATTAATATATAACTAGCCATTTCCATAATGACAAATCTGATCGACACAAGCAAAGTCAAAGTTTCATTCTTTTTTTCATCACAAGCACAAAATCCAGAAGTGGTATCCAAGTGAAAAACATACTCAAATATATTCTCGTCTTTGAATAAAACGATCAATTTAATCATTCCTGTTTTATCTACCTTGCTATGGAACTAGTCTGTATTTCTATTTGTGCCTAATAATCTTTGTAAACCATCACCATTTTTATTAACAAAGTTCTCCATATTTTTTCAAATTCTTTGATCTTACCAGAAAAAACAAATATATATATATACACGCACACAACTATTCCTATGTCTTTTGCAAATCTTCTCTGATTGCATATTATTACCTCACATACTGAACTTACCACAAATGCTGAAGTAGTTCACATTCCACATTTGAATCCTAAACTGAATTCTAAACCAATCAGCTGAGCAAGTTTCACATAATGTGCTAAGCCGAAGAAAATCTAACCAAAATTAATGCTAATCAAGCTTAGCATGTTCTGTGAATGTATCTGCCATACCTTTACCTCAGCTGGGTAAGCATGTTTCTAAACAAAGCTTTGTACATAAGAAAAACAATGAGTAAAAATGACTACAATCCTGAGGAAGAAATTTAAGAGGTATCTTCTTGGCTTCCATTTTCTGTAAATGTTTGTCACCCTCTTTTCAAAGTGTTTGAATCAATGGCCATGAGGCTCTCAAGGTTAACTAGGAGATGCATGGGTTGATTGTTTTTCTTAAATTGATATAATATTATTACAAAATAGAGGGTTTTTTCTTTTAACACTTTGTGGATTGTTTTAAAAGCTGATCATGCCTCCCTCCCTCCCCTTAAACATTTTTTGAAGTAGGTGGCAATTCTTTCTATATGGCACTTCTTTCTTTCCTGCATTCCCTTTCTCATTTGTTCCTTAGGCTCAGAGAAACCCATTACTGCTGGAAGCTGTCATGGCAGAGGTGGCTCAGTATATATGTTGCAACCGGGAAGAAATCAGGCTTATGGCATGCAAGCTGGCAGGTAAGCCATTTGGTTAGATTTCCAAAATATTGTAAGCTAAACCCTATGTTGCGGTTCGCCAGCAGCCTGTGGAGTTGGACAGTGAGGAGGCTGGGAAGAAACATGGGCCAGTCCTGGAGTCAGGGGAAGGCCCAGACAAGGGCTCTGTGTTGGAGGCAGAGATGGGGCCAGGGCCATCTGAGAGTGATGCACGGACTCGGGAGCCTCCAGAGTCGCACAGCAGAGAGGCGGAGGAACAGGAGGAGCCTGTTCCTAGTGCACACATGCACAGAGCTGCCAGAAGGCACGAACAGTTAAAACAAAAGGGACGATTCAGGAGTAAGGCTTGGAGATGATTGGCCCCTCCCATAAGGCTTAAAAGAGGAGCAAAGGCACGTGGGCACTTTGCAGGAAAGCAGCATTGTTAATTCTGTTCCCAGTCGGCATCTCTGTTTGATTCTGGAATCCATGTGGCTTTGCCAAGTAGGTCTTTGGCAGAATGTCAAGGGAGATAAAGGTTGGTGATTATTCCAAAGGACTTCTCCTGAAGGACTTTTTGCAACTAATTGGGACTCAGCTGTGAATGAACGTAATTTACAGCTGTTGCAATAAAAGAGGTTTTTGGGACTACTTGTGTGTTTTAATGACTCAGGAAGCCTAAGTCACAACACCCTGCACCCGACTTAACAAAACTGAATAAACCATAACATGGTGCCCTGGTTCACACAATATGTGAAGACTGTCATCAGTCTTGTTAGAATGCACCAAACTTCCCAATTCTATATGAGCTAATGGTGGGATTCACACATGTTGACCCTCAACCTAATCAATTCCACTTCAGTTTAACATTGTGAAATCCACACCTGCATATTGCAGGCATGCGCACTTACCTGTATTGTAAGAAAGGAACTCTTTCTTTAATTTATACTAGGAATTCTTGTAGAGAAGGTGGAAACCCAGCATCTTGGACACTTTGATGTAGAACATCTTTTACAAGGTAAGTATTGTGTGCAAAGTTCTTTGACTAGAGCAGAGATGCAAAACTATATTCCAGGCACAGGTTACAATGGTTCTTTGAAGGTCCTGTTAGGGACAGCATTACCAAAGGTATATTTGATTTAAATATTAACAGTATTTAAATGATCCCAAGACAGGAGAGCAAATAAAACGTTACAATGTGGATGAAATCCATGGTCACATGATTACCGTATTTTTCGGAATATAAGACACACCTTTCCCCCTAAAAGGGGGTGAAAATTTAGGTATGTCTTATATACCAAATGTAGCCCTGCCCACCCACTGGCCCCCACCCTTTGGCCTCTGCCTCGCAGCAGTTACCTCCTTGCAAGTAAACAGCAAGAAAAAACAGCTCCTTTCAGCTTCAGCACAACCTAATTAGCACAAGTTGATTGGATCGGCCTCCCGACTCTCAGCTGATTTGCTCTCAGCTGTTTTGCTCAGGGCTCTGCTGTTTGCTGCAAAGAGGTAAATTGCTGGAGCAGATTTTTTTTTTCCTTTGCTAATCAAGCTATGCTGAAAACAAAACTGAAAGTAAAGCAGGCTGTTTGCTGTTTGTTGCAAGAAGGCAAAATTGCTCAAAGGCAGAGGAAGATTTCTTTTTCTTCTTTTCCTCACCCAAAAAGGTTGATACGTCTTATAATCCGGTACATACTATACTCCGAAAAATACGGTACTTTCACTGGGATTAAGATTGTTGCTCTGGTTTCCATTAAAAATCCTGGGCCTTGTCTCTTGAAATTATTGCTCTCCTCCAACAATGTCAAACAATGCAAAGAAAATATTCCAATCCACTATCAGCAAGGAATAAATAAGTTATATGTACGCTAACAACGTACTATAATTGTACTCATACAACACACTATTTTATTATTGAATTAATGTTTTGGGGGAAATATGCATACTGCAGTGAAACATAACCTGTCCTAACATGTTGGGCTCACACAATAAAAATCCTTCACCTGGATTAATAAATAGCCATGTTCATATAATATGCTCAACTAATATTGTTAGTTAGGAGCCACGGTGGTGCAGTGGTTAGAAGGCAGTACTGCAGGCTACTTCTGCTGACTGCCAGCTGCCTGCAATTTGGCAGTTCCAATCTCACCAGGCTCAAGGTTGACTCAGCCTTCCATCCTTCCAAGGTCGGTAAAGTGAGAACCCAGATTGTTGGGGGCAATATGCTGACTCTGTAAACCGCTTAAACAGGGCTGTAAAGCACTGTAAAGCGGTATATAAGTCTTATTGCTATTGCTATTGTTGCTGCAAAATGGTTTAACACTATGGTTTGGTTCACACAGTCGGCAAAGATATGGCTTGATTTGCACAATCTATTATCCATAAATTATCCAGTTGATTTTTAGTCTAGACTTTAGTGTTTGGTACAAACCCAAGCCATTGAATTAACTTACTACAGAATTCTATCAGGACCTGACACAGCTGTCTAAAAAAATAACCAAAATAACCTTTAACTAAAAAGGAGTCTGAAGCTGCAGTGATTAAATATGTATTTTAGGCAACGGTTGCAAGAGATGTATAAATAGTTTATGCCCAAAAGGCTTTGGTCAAGATGCTGGAACATGGTAGTCAGTTAACGGATTTTTTGGAGTATAAGACGCACCTTTTCCCCCCGTAAAAGAGGCTGAAAATTTGGGTGCATTTTATACTCCAAAAGTAGCTTTTTCGAAGCTTTTTTCAGCCCTAACGAGGCGCTAGCGAGGCGCTAGTGAGTGAAGCGATCTTCCCAGCTTTGCCTGCTCCCTCGCCTCCGCTGGGCTTTAACGAGGCGCTAGTGAGTGAAGAGATTTCCATGCTTTGCTCCGACTCTCAGCTGTTCTTTAGAAGCTTTTTTTCAGCCCTAACTAGGCGCTAGCTGAGTGAAGCGATCTCCCCGTGCTTTGCCTGCTTTTTTCATTGCTGCTTCCTCTCAGTTGTACCTTGGAAGCGGTTTTTTATCCCCAAGCAGGGGATAAAAAACCAGCAAACTAATGTGCTGAAGCTGATCAGACTAAGGACGCTAGCCAGATGAATACCTGGGTAGGCAGATTTTTTTCCCCTATTTTCCTCCCCAAAAACTAAGCTGGGTCTTATACTCCGGTGCGTCTTATACTCAGAAAAATACAGTAGTTTTGGGTTAACCTTTCTGCCTCAGTGCTTCTCATCTCGCTCTTCACAGCTCTACACTCCGCGAGTCATGATCCCAGCCCCACTGTGATCAGCGCAGCCTTAGAAGCTACTCACACTATCCAGCAGAAATGGCAGGGAAGCCAGACAAGGTTGGCCTCTGGACACCAAAGGAGAGCTGTGCTTTTGGGATGGTTCTTCAGGAGGGAGCCCAAAAAAACACTGGGAGCTGCAAAGCCTGGGCCAGTTTAAAGACAAGAACCATCAGAAAAGAAATGGAAATATAGCCTCTTTCATAGTTGATGCGAGTGGTGGTGGTATCTGTTTTCCAAAGAAGCATCGTTTTGTCTCTCGGCTATTGTATCCTTCAAACCTGAAAAGTAGCAATCGAGGAAATGAGTGGGGTTTGTGGAAGGGATTCACTGAGATCTCTGTGCCTTTTTTTTTTTTTTGCCTTTTTCTGGTTGTCTATTTGTGGGGTGGGGAGAGATGGAGAGAGGAACTGGTGTCCCATTCTTGTGGGGGGGGAGGAATTAGCTGAGCTGCTGAAGAGGAGAAGCACCAAATGGAAAAACAGCTTGCAACAAGTTCCTGTCATGCAGTATGTCAAAGTACTCAATCAATTTCACAATATTTGAGGATTTCCATATAGCTCATGGGTGTCAAACTCACATCATCATGTTTTTTCCATTCGCGTAGCTGGGGTGGGCATGGCCTGCGCATGACCCATCCGGCCCGCAGGCCACCAGTTTGATACCCCTGGTATAGCTTATACTACAATCTAAGCCTTCCTAAAGTGATATAAAGCACATTTCAGTAGGTAGAACATATTGACACATTAATTGACCAATCAATGTCCTTCCTGCCTTGCAAGATGCTTAAAGAGTATCATTGTATTGAGCAACCTTGAATTCTTCCTGCATTGCATCTGAGAATATGTAGACATTAGAGCCGACAACGGCTGAAGCCTGTGACAGAATGGAGCAGATAAAAGTACCTTGAAATTCTTATACGATAAACTCTCTTGGGAAAACAGATAAGATTTTTACTTATAGTACAGTATAGAGCCTTGATAGTACAGTGGTTTAGTGCACCCTGTTATTAACACAGCTGCCTGCAATTTCTGCTGGTTCGAATCTCTCCAAGGCTCAAGGTTGACTCAGCCTTCCATCCTTTCTAAGGTAGGTGAAATGAGGACCCAGTTTGTGGGGGCAATAAGCTGACTTTGTATAAATATACAAAAGTATGAAGGCTATTGCTTAACGCATTGTAAGCTGCCCTGAGTCTCCGGAGAAGGGCGGCATAAAATCAAATTAAAAAAAAAAAACAACTTATGAGCCCTGGTTGTATAGTGATTAGAATACAGTATTGCAGCCTAACACTGCTCACAGCCAGGAGTTCGATCCTGATGGAGCTTGAGCCTTCTATCTTTTTGAAGTCTGTAAAATGAGGACCCAGATTGTTGGTGGCAATATGCTGACATTGTAAATTGCTCAGTGTGTGTTGTAAAAGCACTGTGGAGCGATATATAAGTCTAAATGCTATTGCTATATGTACAGAGTTTCTCAGATAGCAATGGAGAAGAAGCTAAAATAGGTCAAGGAATTAGTGGGAAGGAAGTTGCTGTCAGAGATGCTTGCAAATCATGTGGTACTGTATTTGAGCGTTTTTAGACTGCTGACAGTATGTAAGTCCTGAGGTAAACTAAGACCATTGAAGATAATTTCTAGGTGATTCAAGTTCATTGAAGAGACACTTCAACATAGAATCACATCCATTAGGTGCAAAAATGAGGAAAACAGAATTGAAAGACTATTAATTTTTACTTGACATGAGAGATTGCCAGTAAAGTTGTTGCTGAAACTCTTGATTAGGAAAATTTGGAATAAACATATATTGTAATAGAAGTTTTATTATTTCAAGTAGGGAGATAATTGAGCTCAGAATAATAGAGAACTTAGGCAATCAAATCGATCTTTAGCAGAAGGAGGGGTTTGTTTATTTTCTGTGCTGCATGTCACTTACAGAGCTATCTACTGTAAAAATAAAATTCTCCAGGAAAGTATGGTACAATAAAGAATGCTGCTCACGTGCTATTTTTTGACTCGACTCCCAAACCCCATATCCCAATCTTCCATTCCCTAGGTGACTACTGTGAATGAAGGGAAATATATGTATCCCAGGATAATGTTGCAGGATCCAATTTCTCAATCTCCCAGATGTGTTGGAGATTGAGAAGTTCTGGAGATTGAGAAGTTCCCTAAGGATGGGCTCCCAGCACAAGTCCAAAACCTTGGAAGAACAAACTTCTGGCCCCGGTGACCAACTCAGATTGGATCCTGCAAAACCTACTGTGCTCAATGAAAATAATTTAATACTACAGTAGTTTACAAACTGGATCCCTGCACCTGTTATTATCTAGTTATCTAGTTAGAGCTGGTTTGCTCTAGTTTGAACAAACCAAATATTTTTCTGAAAAGTTTATCCGGTTGGAGATGGCGCACACATTGATTCTACTGCATTGCTGGACACTTCCGGGTTTCTTCATGCTACTGTAGAAGAAATGGCAAGACTTGGCACATCTGAGATATCTGCATAATCCCTACTGTTGTGGCAGCCAACACAACCTCTTCCTGCAGATCTTGTTCAATAGTTGCAGTTGGAAAACCTATGTTGCATCTTGGGACAGCCTGCTGGAGGCTGCTGCTGCTACTGTTGTCACTCCCATTTGGTGAAACCATCACAGCCACCACTGCACTGCTTTCTTTTGATCAGCTCAGCCACTTTGAGAGTGAAGTGATTCTTGATGAACGCATCTTGTATTTTATGTACACTGAGAGCCTATGCACCAAGACAAATTCCTTGTGTGTCCAATCACGCTTGGCCAATAAAAATTCTATTCTATTCTAAGAGCAGGAACTGATCTGGTTGTTGCCTAATTTAAATAAAAACTCTTGTGTGCACCCTTATTATTTAAGAAAGAAGGATAATGCAAACGTATATTTTCATTAATAAACTCCTTGGGCACTTTTGATGAACTGCCCTTTGGGAAGAAAGGAACATTATGAAATTTCCAATTATAATGAATCACAAGCTTTCCGTGGCATGGGAAAATATTGGAAGATGAGCAAATAGTGGACTACATGCCTGGTGACAGGATCCAGAATAAACACCATATGTTGCTGATGTAGATTATTCTACAAATACAACTGCCTGATGGGCCTCCTACTTTACAAGCATAGAGCAAAGGTCCCTGTTTCTGATGAAAATATTTATTCTTTCAACTATATAAAGAATTTTTTTTTTATTAGGGGTCCTAGTCCCCTGGGGGTTTCTCTTGAACTGTTGCAGATTGGGTCAGGTTGCTGGTTGATGTTCGAGAGAAAACTTTTGAAAGAGCAGTGGAGACTTTCTCAAACACAGAAGATCGCTGGTGGGGAGCAACGCTTTCCTCAGGTTTAGTGGTTGCAGTGACTTTTGCATCCTCTTCTTCTGTGGAATGAAACAGATGATTAAAGAAAGAGAAGATTCAGAATACTTTAAGATATGGAATCAATTTTATCATTGGTTAGAAAAGAGATACCAATAACTAAATTGTTATGTATAAAAAGTGCTATAATTAGAATATTGTGTTAGTGAGGAATTGTTGTAATGGATTTGGTGAGAATGAAGATAGAAGAAATGACAAAAAGAAGAATTTTTGGAGACAACACTGAGATGTCACATGGAAGGAATGACTGATGTATTAAATGTTTGTTTGTCTAAAAAATAAAAAAAAAACTTTTTAAAAAAGAAAAGAAACAGAGCTCCTGTCAAGGGTTTGCATCACGGGTGGGTTCTACTTACCTTTACTACAGGTTCACAACGGGAGAAGCTTCTGCGCATGTGCAGATCACAAAATATGACGTCAGGGCGGGTGGGCGGAGCCTCCCGCCGCTTTTACTACCAGTTTGCAAGAACCGGAGAGAACCAGGAGCAACCCACCACTGGTTTGCATGCCTTAATGTATCATTGGGGCATATAAAGAGAGACTAGGAAAGTGAAGTGGCAATGTGGGAAACCATTGTTATTCCAAGGAGTTTAGTGTTCCTTCAGATTAAAAAATGTCTAGCACAGGGGGGGCCGGGGAGGCGTGGCCAGCTTGACATCACTCATGTTGGGGATGATTACTGAACAAGGTAGTTGCTAAATGAGGAGTAAGTGTAATTCAGCTGAATTAGCAGTGACACAAAGTGCATCTCAGAAGCATAAAATGATCCTTTCCAATACTGAGTAGCCTTTTTCTTGCCAGCTATTTGGAATCCAGAATCTAATGTTTTTTAATCAACCTTGAAATATACCATAAAACGTACTAAAGCAAGCACCAGGCGGATGTCTGGTAGTTATTCCCAGCTCAGAGGCTCTATTCCTCTCTGAGTTTGATTAGCGTTAAAAAAGCTAAGGTTACGGGATACACACCAACATACCTGGTTTAATGTGTGAACCAGAGTCTGGAGTTTTGACACTTTTGTCCTGATAGACAGAGGTAATCTGTTGAAGCAGAAAAATATCATAAGAAAATAAGAACCTGTCACTTCTATTTTAAATTTATTCAGATTCTTGGTCCAAGAACTACCGATAAATTTATCAGAATTGGGCTGCATATCCTTGGACTACCATTAGATGGCAGCACAAAAACAAATTTACTACTGCTGTTTTATATTGGTCATTTGGATTTTTGCACTCCACAACATGGCAGTACCATGTTTTCCTGAAAATAAGACTCTATCTTATATTTTTTGAACCCCGAAACTTGGCCTTGTTTTCAGGGAGGTCTTATTATTTTGGGGTGCGTGGAGCAAGATGGGGCTCCTCTTGCTGTCTTACCTGATTTCCAGCTCTGCGTTTAAATATTTTCGGAGAGGGCTTATTTTAGTACCTGTGCTCAAAAGCCTGATTGGGCTTATTATCAGGGGATGTCTTATTTTTGGGAAAACAAGGTAGCTCTATCTATACAGTAGAATCTAGGTTCACCCTACTGATTAAAATATGGATGGCTAGTTTCTGCCTAGGTTTGATCCATGAATCCTAGTGGTGTACGTAGTTTATCATTCACTAACTCACAGAACTTAATTCAACAACCATGGCTACCAGGGGTGGGTTCTAAAATTTTTTACTACCGGTTCTGTGGGCATGGCTTATTTTGTGGGCGTGGCTTGATGGTCATGTGACAATTCTTTAGGATTTAGCAGAGGTACTGGTCTACCAGGCTTTTAACTGCTTGCAGAGCTGTACCGGTCTACTCATTTGTTTTTGGAGGCA